CCAGGGATAGAGGCAGACTCCATTGAGCACATGGTTGCAAAAAGACATAAAACACTTTAAAATACATAAAGTCACCTTTTACACATAACACACAGACATTTCAAAACTACCGAATAGCGCTCACATCCTATTCACACAGTTCAATTGCCATGGAGCCGAAGTCTTTAACTACACGAATGGGGTCCATGGCATAGCTATCTGGGTTAACACATTCACATAAAGTCTGGTCCATAGTCCAAAGGCAAGAGGCGGGCAAGCAGCCCCCTCCAAGGACACGTGACAAGGCCGGTTTCGCCACACACAGAACCCCTCCACGCACACACAGAACCCCTACACTCACACACAGAACCCCTTCACACACACAGAACCCCTTCACCCACACAGAACCCCATCATGCACACACAGAACTCCTCCACGCACAGAAAACCCCTCCACGCACACAGAACCCCTCCACGCGCACACAGAACCCCTCCACACACACAGAACCCCTCCATGCACACACAGAACCCCTTCACGCACACACAGAACCACTCCACGCACACAGAACCCCTTCACGCACACAGAACCCCTCCACGCACACACAGAACCCCTTCACGCACACACAGAACCCCTACATGCACACAGAACCCCTTCACGCACACAGAACCCCTCCACGCACACAGAACCCCTTCACGCACACAGAACCTCTTCATGCACACAGAACTCCTCCACGCACACAAAACCCGTCCACGCACACAAAACCCCTCCACGCACACAGCACCTCTCCACACACAAACGGCACTCTCTCCACACAGCACACAGCACACACACACTAAACCGCTACACACACTGCACCCCCTCCAAATACACACCGCATCCCCCACACACTGAACCCCTACACACATTGCACTCCCCACACACTGAACCCCTACACACACTGAGCACACACACTGCACCCCTCACTGTAGTCTGTGTGTGTGTATTCACCAGTCTGTGTGCGTTCACCAGTCTGTGCGCATGTAATCACCAGTCTGTGTGTATATTCCGCAGTCTCTATATGTGTGTAATTAGCAGCCTGTGTATATATTCAGCAGTCTCCATATGTGTGTATTCAGCAGTCTGTGTGTGTTTTTTGCGGTTTGTGTGTATTCAGCAGTCTCCATATGTGTGTATTCAGCAGTCTGTGTGTGTTTTTTGCGGTTTGTGTGTATTCAGCAGTCTGTCTGTGTGTGTAAGTATTGTATTTGTTGGAGGCAGTGGTGGATCCAGAGCCTGATCTCGGGAGGGGCACATGTAGATTATTTAAATAAATAATCCAGACACAATAACCACTACAGCTCAGTGTAGTGGTTATGGTCTCAATAGTGCCGGGACCCCCTCCCAGAGTAAGTAGTCAAACCGTTTAAGAACAGTTTGACACCTTACCTGAGGTCTGCAGGGAAATGGGGCAGTAGTAGGGCATAGGAGCAGTGGTGTGTGTGTGTGAGGGGGACAGTGTGTGAGCAGTGTGTGTGTGTGAAGGTTGTATTGTGTGTGAGGGCGGCAGTGTATGTGTGTAACAGTTGCAGTGTGTGTGTGAGTATTGCAGTGTATGTGTGTGTATGGGGCGGCAGTGTGTGTGTATGGGGAGGCAGTGTGTGTGTATGGGGAGCAGTGTGTGTGTGTGTATGGGGGGCAGTGTGTGTGTATGGGGGGGCAGTGTGTGTGTATCGGTAGTGTATGTGTGTAGAGTGTGTGTATGGGGGGCAGTGTGTGTATGGGGGGCAGTGTGTATGGGAAACAGTGTATGTGTATGGGGGGGCAGTGTGTGTGTATGGGGTGGCAGTGTGTGTGTGTATGGGGGCAGTGTGTAATCGGCAGTGTATGTGTGTAGAGGTGTATGGGGGGTGTGTGTGTATGGGGGCAGTGTGTGTATGGGGAGCAGTGTATGTGTGTAGAGTGTGTGTATGGGGGGGGTGTGTGTGTGTGGGGGGCAGTGTGTGTGTATGGGAGGGCAGGTTTCAGGCGGGGGTGTGTATGAGGGGCAGTGTGTGTATGGGGGGCAGGTGTGTATGGGGGGGCAGTGTGTGTATGAGGGGCAGTGTGTGTGTAGTTGGGGGTGTGTTTTGAGGGGCAGTGTGTGTATGGGGGGGGCAGTGTGTGTATGGGGCAGTGTGTGTATGGGGGGGGCAGTGTGTGTGTGTATGGGGGGCAGTGTGTGTATGAAGGGCAGTGTGTGTGTATGGGGGGGGCAGTGTGTGTATGAGGGGCAGTGTGTGTATGGGGGGGGCAGTGTGTGTATGAGGTACGTTGGTAACCGCGGCAACGCTCCAAATCTCACGAGAGGAGGACCCGGAGGAGCTGCAGCCTTAGCTTCCGGGTCCTCTCTCTCACTCCCTCCCTCCCCCGCCGGCCGCCAGCACAGTGCCTGCAGACCGGGGAGGGAGATCTCTGATTTCCCCCCTGGTCCGCAGGCACATTGCAGGTCTAGCACCTGCATGTGCTGCTGGCAGGGGAGGGAGAGGGAGACCGGCGGATTTCTCGAGGGGGGGCAATTGCCCCGTTGCCCCCCCCCTGGATCCGCCACTGGTTGGAGGTACCAATAAATATAAGCCTCATTTTATTGATAATTTATATTTTTTATTCCTTTGAGTGGTTGCGTAGTCAGGGCCCCAGTGCATTGGTTTGCCCAGTGGACTATTATGCTGTTACGATGGCCCTGGTCTAGGGTACGTGTGTGCTCTGATGATCATGCTCCTACAAAATGTAAATGAAAAGACACTCATTTGAGTATCAGGAAGAGGATGAGCTGTAACAGCCACTTCTGGCCAAGAAGAGGTTAAAGACTTATGTATTTCTCTGGGGGGTTTTTTGTTTGTTTTTTTAGCGATTTTTGTATCACTAATGGGTGTCCCATTTTTATATTTTCAAAATCTGGTCACCCTAGACACATGGAAGGTTGAGAGGGGGCATAGGGACACATGGAGGGCTGGGAGAGCTATAGGGACACATGGAGGACTGGGAGAGAGGGCTAATAGGACACATGAAGGGCTGGGGGGCTAATGGGACACATGTGGGGGCTACTGGATTGTATGCAAATGCACGTCTGCGTCTGCTTACAATAAATCTGTTCTGCTTTATTTTGAAGCCCTATAAGTGTTTTCTTTCATGTTTGAGTGCTAGTTTTCAGTTTTCTGTTTTTTTCCCGCTTCCATATCTGCGCACTATGCTGGCGCGATGCATTACGGGGCTGGTATAGAATTTTTCCAGGGCTGCTTTTCATTCCCAGTCCGGCCCTGCACACAGCACACACACACTAACAGCACTCTCACACATACAGCACCCTTACACACACACAGCACCCTTGCAGGTACACACACACTAACAGCACCCTCACACACACACAGCACACTTACACATACACAAACAGCGCACACACACTAACAGCACCCTCACAAACACACACAGCGCCCTCACACACACACACACACACACACACAAACAGCGCCCACACACACACACACACAGCAGTGTATGTGTTTGTGTGTGTGTGTGTATATATAACTACACATTTCTTTTGGTAGACGCTTTTGACTTCACAGATTAAGAACTATTATTAGCGATTGCCAGTATTGCCAGAAATGTCTACCACAACCTATATTATGTTTAGTTTACAAATCTGTTAATACAGACTGGTAGTCAATATGAGCTGAGGCAAACGTGAAAATCGTTCAGTCATTAAAAAAAATACTCCGACCCCTAAAGCACTTTGGCTTGCAGCTTGCGGTAATGCTTTATGTGTGAAGAGTGTGTCCTCTTTTTTCAGTTTACAAAAAGATTTTAATAGAACTTGTCACTTTTATTAATTAACAACCCTCCTTCCCGGTTGTCACCTGGACAAACTGTCCTGTTACTTCCTGGTTTGTTTAGATCAGTGGAGCTAAACTCAAGAGGCAGCAAAAGACTTAGCTGTATTGGGAAATCTGTGATTGCACAGCTACTGAAAGTCTGGGCAAGGTTAGAAGGGGAGGACTTGCAAAGTCTGCAGACAAAAGGTCTGCAGCTTTTGTAAGCTGTTTTATATATCCTCAATGCAAAAATGCATACATGTTTTAATATTGGGGTATATTTACTAAACAGTAATTTATTTAGTTATTGTTTGTGTGTATTTGGGCAGTGGAGTGTCCATTTAAACTCAGGGATTGAATAAGGGAATCTGTCATATTTTCTAGCTGCAATGACCTGGTAGCAGGCTTTAGGGGTCATGATGGTTTGGGCAAGTTTTTAATTTAATTACCATTAAGTGGTTTTTGGTGCTAAGATTTTTTTAAGGAATTACTTGATTACCAATATGCAGCCAGCACTTTTCATCTATATCTCTCGGAAAACACATTGGATCTGGAAACACTATTACATCCATTCAAAATGAAAAACAGATAGGCATCCAGGATTAAATATTAGGGATCACAGCTTTTAATTCCCTTTTTTCTTATTTTCCGTCATTATAGCCGTATCTGTGCAACTACATCCAGTGAACTCAGCCTGTCCACAAATGAAATTTAAAATTAAAACTGCGCAATCGGATGACTCCAAAGGAAAAAAAAAAAATGCTCTAAAAATTTATTCAAAATAAAGTGCATACAAAAAAATCCAAAATATATATAAAAAAACAAGCAAAAAAAAAAAACCTTACAGAATCTAGACACAGCAAAATCCCTTATATTCTTATTAGAATGTCAAATGTAAAAGTTATTTGACTTGACTTTTACCACCCATAGGCTGCAATACAGTACTTAATTGTCCTTTTTAGCTGTCTAAAACACCATAAAAAGTTACCATTAAAACTAAACTCTAGGAATATTATTTTAGTTATTATTTTAGTGTTTCATGCACAGTGCTTTAATATTCACTTATAAAATATTATTGTATCATTTATTATTTCAGCACCAGATTTAACCATATCCTTTCCTTATTAACCTGTTATACACAGAACAGGCCTATCAGCATAACGCGTTAGTTAAACTAACACAAACCTGCAAGTAGTTTGACTCTCTGTCCCACCCGTAGACAGTGGTTACTATGAGTGACTGGTCAGATGGCCAATAAGAGATTTCTTCTGAAGGACAACCGCCAATAGAAAGGTAGAGGGGCGGAGCCCAGGAAGTACTCATCAAGTTGCTCGTTAGCTCGGTGTGTAGCATTTACTTTCTCCTTGGGGTGTTTTTTTGTGTGCAGATTTTGGACTTTGGCTCCTCAGTCGTTATGGTTTGCCAAACCCTTGCTCCAGGCAGCTGAGCATCTTGGGAAAGGTAGTTCACAGCAGCTTGGGCTACCAAATGCTTGAGATAAGAGAGAAAAGGGTAGATCCCAGATGTAGAACTACAAATCCCATGATGCTCCGCTTATGCTTAGAATGGCAAAGCATTACGGAAGTTGTAGTTTTAAAACCTCTGGAAAGTCTACCTTTTGAGTACCCCTGCTGTAAATGTGTTTATATTGCTGTAAATGTGTTTGTGTTTATATTGCTGTCTCCCCATGTAGTTTGATTACTGCTGTGCTTACAAGGGCTCACTTATTCCTGTACACTTTAATAATGCATGCAGGAGGGCCTGTGATCAGTAACCTGTAATCTCTATTCAATGCATTCCTAAAATGTGCAGGTTTTTTATGTCCCTGGTTGAGTTGACAAATTAAAAAAACAAACAAAAAAAAAACGTTTATTTACTGAAAACCGCATATTTGGAACTTTTTTTTTTTTTGCAAACTTTTTGTATTTGAATGGTTTGAAAAATACTCTGTTGAACCAGTTTTGTAGACAAGACTACTCAGATTTGCAAACCTAATGGCAAAAAAAAGTAGATTAAAGGGAGAAAAAAATAAAAATAATCTCATCTTTAGTATTTAAATTCGCTCCAGTTTAGATTATAGTGACTATGATCTAAACTGTAGTGAATTTAAATACTATAACGGAGATTTTAATTTATTTATTTTTCCCTTTAATCTACCCTTTTTTTTTCTGTTAGGTTTGCAAATCTGAGTTTGGTCCGTGACCCTGAAATTGTGATAAGACCTTATGTGTAGTAACATTCATTTACATTCATACAGCCAGATCACAACTGTTAACTTCAATATCATCCTTGACTAAGTGAGACCCATCCACTATAATTCCACAATCCTTATGTATAAGCAGCATCTGCTTGGACCAGAGATCAACAATACAGGTGGTCTCACGCTAGGTGGATCAGGCTACTGTGAGAAGTCTGCCTTGGTGCTAAAATAAAGGTGTTTTGTTGTCTTGATTGAGTGGCCCTTTAAAAGGCACCAAAACCACATCATGTCAGTTTAAGTGGCTATGGTGCCCATAGTCCACCACCACCTTCTTATCGTTAAGCGTTAAATTGTTTAAAAAGAGTTTAGCACTCAAGTGGACTGCCTCCAGTGCTGGTTTGCCTTCTCTCCTCTGGCTGTTTTGTAAATGTAGCAAATTACGTCCTCAACCTATCACAGCCTGCTGATAGTGAGTAATGCCTCCGCAATGTATGTATATATTTAAAGCCCTACTCGCTATGGGCAGTAAGTGGAAGGCAGAGGGCATCAGCTATTGCTCTCAGCCAACCATGTCTGCATAAGTAACTCTTTCTGCATTTAAGAGCAGCTGGAGATGAGAAAGCTTGACCGATGCCTTGGTGAATACATTTAGGTGTTTCAATATATTGACATACACTTGTATGCTGTTTACGTGCATATTATCACCGCTTTAACCTGTCTCATACTAGGTTTGGGGTTTTTGTTTTGTGAGCAGTGTTCTTACATCTTTTATACTTTGCAGAATGTGCTGTGTCCAGTACCTACTGTTGACTGTCCTGTGATTCCTGGCTTATGGGATATGTTCAGGATTCCAGTGGTTGCTTTTTCGTTGACTCGTTACGTGTGCACAGTAGGTGGTAATACAAGTAGTGCTTTATCGAAAATGTTTTATGCTGTCAAAAGAGGGCGCACTCCTGGAGTCTATAACACTTGGTAAGAACGGCAGTAAATTAATTTGGAGGTTTGTACCTGGTAACATGCTAGAACTGAAAGAATAATGAAAGTTTAATCTCAAACCTGTTTATTTTTTAGTTATCCTTACTCGCAGTAAACTGGCAGACGTGATAGTATTAAAGGAACACTATAGGCATCAAAACAACTTTAGCTTAATGAAGCAGTTTTAGTGTATAGATCACGGACAGGCAACCATCGGTACCCCAGATGTTGTGGACTTCATCTCCCTTGATGCTTTGCCAGCATTGTGGCTGTAAGAGCATTATGGGAGATGTAGTCCAACACATCTGGAGTGCGGAATGTTGCCTGCACGAGTCAGTGTGTGTGTGGGTCTGCGTGAGTGGGTGGAACGAATGGAGCGGCAACTTTTTTTTTTTTTCACCTAGGGCGGCAAAAATCCTTGCACGGGCCCTGAGTGTATACGTTCGATGACTCTTCGCAGGATGTGTTTAGGAAGGCTGTGCAATTCACATGCAGGGAGGTGAGGGTTGCATAGACAAAGTGAATTAACTTCTAAATGGCAGAAAATTGAGCAATTTGACTGCAGGGGCATGATCTATACATGAAAATGATTTTATAAAGCTAAAGTTGTTTTGTTGACTATAGTGTCCCTTTAATAAAGTGATTTCATTGTATACATCATGCCCTGGCACTCCTAGCTCCACTTTTCTGCCAGTTAGGAGTCTACTAAATAAACTTATTTCTGTCTTTGCAGCCCTCCCCTAACTGTGACTCACACAACATGTATGCAGGAAAGAAAAAGGTTTCATTTTCAATCAGATGTTAAAGGGACACTCATGTCACCATAACAACTTTATCTAAATGTGTGCTGGAGATGCAACTAGGTTCTGGCTAAAAACTCATTAATTTATTAATTCACTCATGCTGCATTGATGCATTTATATATTTCAGTTGTTTGTTTTAGTAGTTATTTTAAATAGATTTTGTTATGCTTAATATTCATAACAGAAATCCAACATTTTTGGTAAAGTCATTTGTCTTATTTAGTTTTAAGATGATGATTTATCCACTACAATGAATCCATGATTGTATTTCATAGTCAGTAGCTCTGACAGTTGTATAACTTGAGTTTTGGCTATTCCAGGGATGAATGTAAAGCTCAAGTGGACCGCTTCCCGTCGGCTAGGTACAAGAAATTTGCTGCAGAGAATGAAGCCTGGGAGTTTGTTAGAAGTACACAGGAAGCTCAGACACTGAACACAGACGGTAAATGATCACTATGTTTTCTAAACCAATAATATACTGAATACATTTCCCATAACTTATATTATCAAGGCAGATGGCACTAACATCATGATGTTCCTGAAAGGGTTAATGCTGTTCTTGACTCAACTCTTCTCGATTCTCCGGTCACCACATCAATTGACGGGAGTTCTTGTTTAGCAGATTAAGACACAGACATGAAAGAGTGCTTAACAAGTTCTCAGGGAGTATATTTTCAGGGCTAGCATTTATACACAGTTTGTCACGCAAGCAGCGAGATTTATCGTTTACTTGTAGTTAATAGTACATACTTGTCTGACATTAAAAGATAAGCATTTGAATAAAGGCGGGACAGGAACATCCTGAGGTCGAGCGAGGTCATGCATCCTGTAGAAGGGAGGCCTCTCAAAAGCATGTTACAGAATACATCTGCCAAGGTCAGCATAATTATTTCAAACATTATTTTAAAGCATTTAAAGCAAAAAGTTAACTATTTCATATCATTACAGTTCCATTGATGGTTTTCCTCAGTGATACAGGATTTGTTACCATTTGTGTACGTTCACGTATAAGTGCCTTCTAACTTGTCAAAGTCCTAATCCAATACAACTGGGTGGGGCAGGAAAATTGTTGCTTCTGAATGTGGACTGTGAATATGTAAATGTGAATTTGCCAGCATGCTTTTAGCCTTAGCCAGCCAGTAAGCCTACATGTGTAGAGCATTGGAAAATTGCATGCATGCACAGAAAAGTCTGTATGAGTTGTTTGTTTGTGTGGATTTTTTTTGTTTTGTTTTTTAACGCTATGCTACCTTGCATTTGGAGTATTAAAGGGACACTATAGTCACCTGAACAACTACAGCTTAATGTAATTGTTCTGGTGAGTATAATCATTGTCTTCTGGCATTTTCATGCAAACTGTTTACATTCCACCCTTAGGGACACCTCCAAGTGCCCACTCCTCAGATGGCCACTGGAGGTACTTCCTGGGGCAATGCTGCACAGTAGGCAGCACTGCCCTTCAGCGTCTTCACGCTCTGCATGGGGATGCTGAATTTTCTTCATAGAAAATATGAGAAGGTGCTGATTGGCTAAAACAGTGTGGTCACGCCACCTTGCCAATTTTTAACCAATCCAATGCTTTCCCTATGGGCAATTCTGATATCACCAAGGAGGCGGAACAGGGGCAAAGCCGGCAGACTTTTATTCTTTATTTTGGTTGTGCATGGATGGTACAGTATCGCATTTCAAATTGTTAAGCAACGTCAAACAATTTTAACTGTCATGAGAAAGTTCAACAATAATAGCTTATTCTGCAAATTTTTATGGTTTCTTACAAAGTGTTGAGACACAATGCACGTGTGGGGTCCTCAAGCTGATTGCAGGGCTAAACTAGTGTATGGGCGCTGTGTGAGTTTGAACACAAGTTGAGACATATATAGGTTACAGGTTTGTGTTATCTCTGCTTTGTATCAGCTCGCAGTAGTGCTGATTCAAATGTGGGGGTACCTACTGATAAGTGCTGAGTAAATGTGTGTATTGCGGGACTGTTAAAGAGCCGTAGCTGAGATATCTGTATCAGTGTACACGGGCTTGTGAGAAAGGCAATTATGGGGTTAAAATTGTATGGCTTCCTGTGTGCATCTGGTAGTGTCAGAGCTTTAGGCATGTTGTGGGTTATTTACACTGTTGTCTAGGGTGTTGCATTGCCTTAGTCCTGGGAGACAACTCGAGTGTCCACTTGGGGATGCTCAGCCGATGCCTGTTAATGGCTGGCCAGTAGGCACCAGAGGCTGAAGTCCATGTTGGTGAATGAGCTTGTCGGATAGGTCGGCCTCTGCTGCTCTTGGTGTCGTGCTGGGGCCGCCATTAGGAAGTGTGAGAGATGCAAGTATTGGGGGTATTGCAGGGGTAGCCTCCGGGCGAGTCCCTTTTGAGGTTTTAGGCGACTCACCCGTGGTCGAGCGTTTAGGTGTTGGGGTTTGTTTCGGGCTTCCCGCCTCCTTCTCCCTGCTGTCCAGGTCCCTCTCGGATTTCATTTCGTTTTTGCGTGCTTCTGTTTGGGGTTTCTTGGGGCTGATGCCACTGGTGCTTCCTCTGGGGTGACCCTGCGGCTAATTATCTTGGCCCAGAAGTTTGCAAACAGTCGGTCTTGCCTCTCCCACAGTGGGAGCAGGCAGGCCTCGGGTGCTGAGGTCCGCGTGGCTGCCGCCATTTTGGCTGTCTCTGGCCCCGCGGATTTGGTGAGCCGATGTTGGTACCTCCATCTAGGGCCACATGCTTTGGTTGCCGGCCGTCTCCCCTGTGCCTTCTGGGTGGGCCACAGGTAGGCCTCAGGTCTCTCTACTGGTCACGGTCGCCTGTTGGGCTCAGGGTCTCAATTTAACTCCTTCTCCATGTTGTACCCTTGTCTCTGGGGCTGAAGGGCAGTCTCTGTGTGGAGAACTGTAGTATTTTATAGCAGGTTTTGTTTCCGGAGCTCATCTATAGTGCGGCCGCTCTGTTCGTCGTTCAGGCTCTGCCACTTTTAATTCCTTTTTAAGGAGGTTAAGAGGGGGAGGGGGAGGTTAACCACCTAAATGTTGGGTTTAACAGTATAGGGTCAGGAATACATGTTTGTGTTCCTGACCCTATAGTGTTCCTTTAAATTATATTTTGAGAATTTGGTTTAGAATAAAGATGCAGTAATTTGGCTCTGGCAGTTCTGATGCGTACAGCTGGCTACTACATATTTATATTTTATTCACGAAATTTCAAATTGGATATTTTAGCCTAATTGTAATTTAGTTTTTTAAATTGTGACTATAGATGAGTTGTAGGATATAAATTATTATTTTTTTTTTTCCACTCTTAAAATTCTGTGTTTACTGAATAAACCTATGTGTGAATTAATAAAGCAGAAAGCATCAGAAAAGAGATGGCTATTAAAGGGACACAGTAAGGACCATGACCATGGGAACTATACACCCCCTGTTCTGCATTAAACGTTTTCCAAGCAGTTTGAAACAAAATGAGGGCCCCCAGGAATCTCTGGTCTGGTCCAATTGCTTGCCGCGTTAATTTAACATGTACACTTCTACATTCGTAACCTTTTTTGTTAAAATTTGGTTGGTATTGGTTGGCTGAGTGTCGTCCGATGTGTTTTTTGGTTGGCGGAACCATCCAAATTTGTCCAATATTCAGTCCTGGTCTGTAGTATAACTTTCATTTTATCAGTAGGGTCGTATGGGAGGGGCCCGGCTGTGAGCGCCCAAAAAGCTTTTCTTTGTGTAATACTCTTTTGAAAATTATTTGACACTGTATAAGGGGCCATACCATACAGTTTTTAAACCTATCTCTTCATCAAACTACTCAAACAATTTTTTTTTTTCTGGCACAATATCTTCAATCCCCCCCCCCCCCTTGGTCCTTAAGGGGTTAAGCAGGATTCTTCCCTTTTTTTAAATTGTTTTTTAATTTTTTTTTAATTTTTTTTTTTTAAACCAAGTTTTGTTCTGGTGTTAACTTTTACATGTTATTAGTTCTATTGAATATATTGTCTTTACACACAATAAAGATTGTAGAATCTGAATTATTTTTTTTTTTTTTTTAATATATTTATGGTTTTGTTGTTGCCAAAGAAGAATATATTACACTTATTTTGTAGATGGTTGTGGAAAGCAGACCTCTTCACCAGCAAAGTCATCAGAATCTCATTCAAAACGATCATATTGTGCAAAGAGACCACTTAACCCATCTCTGAGCTCTTCTGAGACAGGACAACCTGCCAAACGCACCAAGCTCATTGATATCAGTTCCTTGCCATCTTTAAATAATGGAACATTTAACTACATGGGTAAGACAATGTGTTATTTCAGACTTGCCTTTCATTTGGTTGAGTTGCATTTATATGATGTTGTATACGTTGTGCATAACTCTATTGTAAATCATGGGTATCCAACAGCGATTGTAGAGCAGCTTCACACGATTGATGCTCTTTGATAAAGCCTTCTCATAAATTGCATAACATAGGCTTTTGCCTACAGCTTTGAACTTGCCATGAACTGTTAGCAATGTAATAATGTCATCTGTTCACAAATTGCCTTACTGCTTTACACAAATTGCTGGCAAACGTTTATTTTGTAAAATTCCTGGCTACCATCTCACTGCCAGTGCCACTACAGTCTACAATGACTAATGTTCAGCTGTACGATAGGCATTGTGAGCTTTTAATCTATATACATGTTACTGTCAATTTCTCACTAGTACAATGTATAGATCATGTTTGCACCACTAATCTAGAGCTGAATCTGTCTTATTCTCTTTAATAGGTTATTAGATTTTGGACATTTATTAACACACTCCAATTTTCATATAGAATGTTTAGTGATGACAGATTGAACAAAACCCACTCGATGATTCAATTAATCAAGCAAGTAAAAGTGCTGTGCTTTTGATTATTTTTTTTCCTCTAAATGGCAGAGAATAGAGCAGTGAGACTACAGGGGCATGATCTATACACTAAAACTGCTTCATTAAGATGAAGTTGTTTTGGTGACTAGTGTGTTCCTTTTTAAGATCTGTTTAGATGTCTTTTATTTCTTATGCTGCAGTAGGCAACCCTGATGCTTGATTGATGAAACATGCTGGGTATTTGGTTGTTTCACAATAAGGGCAATAAAATATCCCCCTCCAAAAAAAACCTAATGAAAACACTTTGGGTTTCATAAATCTATAATTGTGGAAAACATATAAGTAAATTTCATGTTTTAGATTAAATGGCTATTTGACCTGAAATGTGCTATTCCCTTGTGTATTCTCTACAATCACTGGTTGTGAGTGAAGCCCTTTGACTTTTTTCTTTCCTCCTCTAGTTACATTGTCAAGTTTTACCTCTCCCCACTTTTTCCTCTGCAGGTGATTTTACTGTGGTATACACAGATGGCTGCTGTTCTCGCAATGGTCGATTAAAAGCCCGAGCTGGGATTGGTGTTTACTGGGGTCCAAACCACCCATTGTAAGTGATACAAATTTGTTTCTGGCTTTTGTGCGAGTGTGGCAAGCCAATGTTAAAATCCATGTGAATGTATACATATAATATTGTGAAGCGTGGTACTTAGTAGGGATCGACCAATATTGATTGTGGGTTTTTTTTAGAGCATTTTTTTGAGAGCCGATAACTCTGATATTCTGTACATTTACCATTTTGAAAAAATAAACTATTTCTAAAGGTAAATGCACAAAATATACATGCCACATGTAGTGGACGCAGGGTGTTTAGACAGGGGAGCTGTGTGTGTATTTGTGTAGTGTGTGTGTGTATATAATGAATGAAGAGTGTGTGTGTGTGTGTGTGTGTGTGTGTATATATGTATATGTATGTGTATATATATAGTGTTTGAATGTAATTTGTGTAAAGTGGGGTCCCTGTGTACATATCTGGGCCTGCGGAGCATTGCCAGGGTAACTCATGGCAACGCTCTGCCAGCGGCGGGACTCATGAGATTTAGACAGGGAGCTGCTGGAAAGGTAAGTAAGCGCTTGCTTAATGGGCCCGACGGTCCTGGTATGTACTATCTGCATCTCTATTGGCCAATACCGAATATCAGCCAGACCAATAATCAGTCGATCCCTAGTACTTAGGAAAGACTTAATTATATAGAATTGGAGGGCAAGTTTTTAATTCGTGGGTTCCTTATAAATGTTGAATCTGAAAGGCAACTTGTATTAAAAAAAAAAAAAAAGTGTGCTAGTTTTAGTGAAGATACAGGCCATTTGCTCATTCTGTATGGTCACTGGGATGTGCAATAAAAGTATATGGCTCTGAAGGTGTCAATATACCTCACACTTAAACCGCCTTAAGTACTGACACTGAATGAGAGAAGGTTGTGTACAGAATACAAATTAAAAAGTTTTGTTTTATAATTACATTGTGGGTGTATTCAACCCCCCCCCCTCTAATATTTAAACTTTCATTGCTATTGATTCTCATAAACGGGTAAAAGCAAAGATAGTACTCTTATGGGAATATTTTAATTGTGTTTATTTAGATGCAGCTGGAAAGCATTTTGTTCTAGCTTTTTAAAGGGATACTTATAAGTGCCAGGAATACAAAGCCGTATTCCTGGCACTATAGCCAGTCTCATATGTTGACTTTTTTTTTTTTTTTTTATACTAAAAGTGAAGCTTGTTAGCTGTAGTTTGTCCACTAAACTTGGCACTCTAAATCAAACAAGGTCACTCAAGAGCTGCATGGGTGTACTCTTGGGAAATCAGTACTGGATAACAGGGAAATCTGTACATGCGCATGTTGCCAAAACATCAATATAATTCTTATCCATCTTAATCTTATTAAGCTTGAAGATATTGCTTTCAGATATTTTGTTCTTTTTGAATTCCTAAGTTCACATTTTGCCTATATAGAGTTCCCTGGTAATTCTCACTTTTTGCAAGTGATGTCTGTAGATTGATTACACGCCAGAGTCTGTGCTCACTCCAACATCTCTACATTGCTCAAAGAATAATGGGATTTGAAGTTGAACAGTCTCTAACACATCATTCTAGAGTCCCTGAAACTTCAGTGTATGAATATCTGTTTATTGAGAATAAAGTTAGATCACAGTTAGAATGAAAAATCTGACTTTTAAACTATGCAGAAATGAATTTCCATAAGCCCCTCTCACCTTCATACTACTATTCGAACTATTTGTTAGATTTAATCCTTTATGGTGTTTCTCGATTTTTGACTTGTCTTTCCATGGGATTGATAATTCTGTGCATTTCTATGGTTTACAGGAATGTTGCAGAAAGACTTGATGGAAGACAGACGAACCAGAGGGCTGAAATACAGGTAAAGCCAGCTTGTACTACAGTGTCCTCTTTATATTATTTATCTGTTTTGGATTTTAAAGCTAGAAATATTTTCCTAAACTTTAGGAGCCAGTGCTAAGGTTAGTAGGCTTTTGCAACAGTCTATGGCATTTAAAGGGGGTTTTATTTGTGGGCGGTGGTGGTTGTTTTATTTTTTTTAATTTTTTTTATTTATTTTTTTTTAACATTCAGCCCAGAGCAAAAAAAAACAAAAAAAACAACCTAATACTCAAAATTGGAATACCAGAAGTGTTCCCCCTGAATGGAAGGGAAATTAAAGTTAGGAAAGCATTAATGTTTGAATTTAGTCATGTGTTGAAAAATAAAAAAACACTACAAAGGAAAACCAAACTTAACAGATGGAAGCTGTCTTAACTGTGAGTGACCACTCTACTTTTTCATCATATTTTGGTTCATAGTGACATACTACACCATTGCTATTCTGTCCTTTTTTCTCCTTCCATGATACACCCTGAGGAATATTTGGCAACTACAAAGAGCAAGATACAGCTTGTTTAGGTTTGCTGCCTTCCAGCCTCACATATACATATATATATATATATATATATATATATATATATATATATATATATATATATATATATATATATATATATATATATATATATATATATTTGTGCTCGGAATTTAAATACGTGATGGATAGTAACTGTGAGCAAAGTTGGTTGTGGTGTGCCGAAACCAACGTACGAGTGGGCCTGTAAATAAAAGAGGGCCCACCAAGGATAATGTAGTTAAAACAGGGTGTAGGTGGGTGGGGACAATCAGCTGAGCGGCAGCGGTGAGTAGGGGCTGGGAGCTTAAGTAGGGGACTTACTCCTCCCACAAATTCAGGCCTAATGGCCTTTCTACTTGTGCTCGGAATTTAAATACGTGATGGATAGTAACTGTGAGCAAAGTTGGTTGTGGTGTGCCGAAACCAACGTACGAGTGGGCCTGTAAATAAAAGAGGGCAAAAAGATAAATTCGAGAAAATACACACTTTATTGCATTTTTACAAGACCAAGTTTCTGAAAGCTTGGCGAAGCTCTTTCTCTGGTTGCGGAATATATGCGTTATATATGGAGGATTTCCATCGCCCGAGCCTTTTGATGATGTGGACCGGTGCGTTTGTGCTTGAGGCTGCTGAGGCGGCTCCTATGCGGAAGGAGTGCCCAGAGAATGCAGCCGGGTTGTGTCCGAGCTTAGATAACAGAGTTCTGACATGAGACATCAATTTTGCCGTGGTAAGCGGGTGCCCTTGTAATGTTAAGAGCGGAGAGTCTGGCAGGTGAGTGTGAAGAGTTGACCGTAGTTGGTCGAGAACTTTCACCGGACACCAGGCATTATCAGTAGGGAAGAGAGGAATTATTGTAGGATGTATTGACCGGTTGGTTTTAGTGGTAGGGATAGAAAGGAGGTAGTGATCCTCTACCTTGGTGAGGTGTGAAGTTTTAAGGCATCGTGCGATATCTCCTTGACAAATCACTGTGAATTCTCTAGGTCTGAGAAAACCGTAGAAAGCGAGATATATGGCAGATTTTATCACCGTATTGGTGTGGCTATCAAATGGGGCTGTGTCAAGGAGATTGCTAAGTGACCTGAAGATAGGCCCGTCTATGGGTAATCTAGTGCTTGCGAGTGGTGGTGAAACCTTTGATATACCTTTCAATACCTTTTTTATGGGGTATGAAGACAAAAAGGGGGTGCTGTTAGGAAAATTGGTGAGGCTGTGGTGCTGAACCCCGGTGAGGTAAAGTTTAATGGTGTTGTGTGACAGATTAAGGTGTAGGTGGCAGAAAGAGGCAAAAGACACCATGGTTTGGATAGAAAAGTCACCTTGTAGCCCGAACTCTGCAGTGAATTTGTTAAATATGTTAAGTGCCCTATTGTAAGTGATAGCAGTGTTGGGTGATAATGCTTGGTGAGTGAGTGATCTAGCGTGAAGCAAGAGTGTGCTTAATCCAATATTAGTTCGTGAAACCGTGGTGTCCTGGATGGCTGTTGGTGAGCTGCTGGGAGTGCCTGAGAAAATGCCTGGAATCGAGAACGAGAAAGAGCGTCAGCGGCGGTGTTGTGAATACCCAGGATGTGAGAACATACTAAGTGAAACTGATTGGATGCTGCCAGCCAGGTCAACTTGCGAATCAGCCGCATGATGGTCAGGGATGATGAGCGCCCTTTGTTAATGATATCGCAAGCTGCCGAGTTATCTGAGTAGCATTTTACTGCCTTGCCGGACCAGAGATGACCCCAGGTGTGTGCGGCCGCCACAATGGGGTAAATTTCAAATAGGGTTGAGGTCTCCCTGAATCCTGGCAAGGCATCCGTCTCAGTGGGCCAGTGGCCCCTAAACCAGTGGTTCCCGAAAATGGCTGCGAAACCGGTGTTGGCTGCTGCGTCTGTGTGGATGATGGGTGAAGAGGTGGAGAGAGGGGGGATAAACATGGAGATACCATTTCCAGTCTTTCAAAAACTGGGGGTCCAAAGAAACTGTGCCGGAGTCCAGGACTCCATGGAGCAGGCAAAGAAGTCTGGAAATAAAAGACCTTCCCTGCGGAATGATGCGCATGGCGAAGTTCAGAGATCCAAGAAGGGACTGAAGTTCTCTCCTGGTGCAAACGTCACTCCGCAGGAACGTGTCTATCTCCCCTCTCAATCGTGAAAGTTTGTCGTGTGGAAGGCTAGCTCTGAGTTTGACAGAATCGAGCTCTATGCCTAAAAAGGTCAACTTTGTTGTGGGTCCTATAGTTTTGGCTGGGGACAAAGGGACTCCAAGTGTGGAAAAAAGTGGGGTAGTACTATTGATTGCTGTGGGTGTTGATGATCAGTAGAAAGTCATCTAGATAGTGAATAACGGAGTGACACCTGATGACGTTCAGAAGCAGCCAGCATAGTGACTCTGCGAAAATGTCGAAAAGTTTGGGGCTGCTTCGCGAACCAAAAGTGAGTCGTGTTGAGAAGTAATAATACCCTCGCCATTTAACACCGTGTAAGTGCCAGAGTGAGGGGTGTATGGGCAGTAATTTAAAGGCGTTAGTGATGTCTGTTTTGCTGAGCCAGGGTCGATTACCAGATGTCATGATGGACTGTATGGCGTCGTCGATGGTGACGTACTGCAGAGAGAATTCGTCTGCTGGAATGAGTGCGTTTATGCTTGGAACAAAAGAGGAGTGCGGTGCCGATAAATCGATAATGAGACGTTTTTTATTAGAATATTTGTGAATAGCAATACCAATAGGGTTAGTGCGCCAGGAGGAAAACGGTGAAGAGGTGAAAGGACCGATCATGAAACCGTTTGTGGTTTCTGCGGAAATGAGAGTGTCTACAGCGACTGGGTCTAAACGTGCAGACTGGAGATTAGGACATTCTAGTGTACCTGGTGGAATGGCTATTATGCCTGTGTGAAACCCTTGTGAGAAACCTGTGGTGAGAAAATCCACTAAGTGCCCGCTGGGGTGAGACCTTAGATAAAAAACCAGGTTGTCGATATTTATGTCGGTTAGTCATTTGTTTGGTGACAACCTGGCTGGACACATGGTCTTGGTATGTGCCCTGAAACATATGGAGCAGATGTGCAATAATCTACAGGCGCTGAAACTGCAGGAGCCTGCGTTGAAATTATTGCACACCTGTGCTTTACCTAAAAAGGAGATGGGCCTACCCAGCTTATCCCGGAGACCACCCGCTGGCTTGTGAGGGGTGAAAGAGGAGTGAGGTGTGAACGTGGGGTGAGGGGTGAGAGTGGAGGTGGTGGGATCTGGTTCGACGGGACATAAGTCCGCCATGTGGGATGTAGAATTACAGATGGCACAAGCCGGGGGCCTGAGTCCAGCGAAGTGGCGACAGAAAAGTTCAGTGTCCATCTGACCCCAGTTCATTCTAATGTTGAACTGCTTGAGATGGGTCGCCGCCTTCGCTGAGACTGACTTGTGGTAGTCATAGAAGGAAGAGCCCCCGTACTTGATGCCTAGATCCACTACCTTGTGGAGATAGAGATCTAGCTCTTCTCTCCTATGGGGATACACCGTGCAAATGACGTCGCGGTATATCCCAAAAGCTATCACAAACTGTGGGATAGACAATTTTTTATTAAGCCTGGGATCCCTCGTTTTAAGCACAACAGAAATGTCACCATAATTGTATGCCTTGTTCTCGAGTACATCCTGAGAGGCTATGAGTAAAGACACCAGACACACATCCTTCCCGTCAAGGATATCTTTCCTGATAGAATCTGGGACGGAGTGTGCTGGTGACTCGAAAGGTGTGATGGCTGTGCCAGGTGCTGGAGGGGGGAGTATAGAGGGACATGAAGGTATGACAGGTACAGCCGTGGTAGAGACTGGGACTACGGTGTTAGTACCTGAGGAGGAGATGGCGCTCTCCACCTTAGACAGCCTGCTATTGAGGGCCTGTAGATTGGCCAAGATATCTGCCAGGGTATCCTGGGTGGCCGTGCTGTTACTTGGTGGTTGTCCTTGAGAGCTAGTTCCCGGCCGAGGCTCGGGGACTTGGTGGGTAAGCAGCCTGTAAAGTTCTGCCTTTCTAGCTGTGGCCGGAAAGGGGATTCCCCTGAGCCTAAGCTCGGCTGTGATTTTGGGAATAGTCCATGCTCTCAAGGACGTGGGGGTTGAAAGAGTGAGTGATTCGCCTGGAGACACGGGTCTGATTGGCGTGAATGGTGCTTCTTCTGTCAGTTCTTCGGTTGGAATTGGTTCTTGGGACATTCTAAAAAGGAATGATTATGTGAAAGATATATTAGAAGGGGAGTGAGGTAAGAAGGGGGGGTATGGGGAGTGGTGTGTCTTGAAGAACTGGACTTTAATGCTAGATGCCGAGGCGAAAAACTTAACTATTGAATGACTGGATAGGTGAGGCCCTGCTAATGCCAAGTGGCGATGAGAGGCTCTACCTATGATTTGGCTTATGACGTAGGTGCCACAGACGTGGTGGCGGGATGTTGGCCTCTCGGTGACGATAAGAGAAATCAAAACGTGTGGCCGTGACAGGTGAGGCCCTAACTAGAGCCCTGTAGTAAGGCATGCGAGGCTTATAACTATGATTTGGGCGTGGGGCCGTACCTCCGTGTTGAGGTGGGGTGGGGGTGGTAGGCCTCGCGGGATCAGATTTCCTGATAGGGTGGGCTAAGGCATTAGCCTGTGCCGTATAGCCAGTTCGATAGTATGCTAAAGGGTAAAGTTAGAGGACTGGAGTGGTGTGTGGATACTAACCTTGACTGGTCGCAAATGGTATCTGGAGCCTCCTGGTAAGTGTAGAGAGTCTTGTCTTAAATGTTGTCTTTGAGGAAGAATCCTGGGGGTTTAAGACAGATGTTGATGTGTTTATACGTATCGTGATGTCGTATGAATAGTATAGGGAGAAGGTTTGTTAGGGGCACCACGTGAGATCCTGCATTGAGGGATCTGGGAGGTTTAGGTGTAGGAATGGGATGATTTTGGATATGAGTGAGAAGGCAGAATGAGGCCTTGGGGTAGCGAATGGACGTACTTGAGTAAGGATGTAAGTACCTGAAGGTATGGCTGAGTACCGGGTCAGGTTTTTGGTGTCTTCTGAGCCTGATGGCCGTATGACCGAAAGTCTGTGTAGACAAGTAGTAAAGAGATAACGTATCCTGGGCGTAAGCCTGAGGGAAGGTAGTAATGGAGTTGAGACCGCGTGAGGTCTAGTATTGAAAAGAGAGTGAACTATACCTTTGTTTAAAGTACAGAGATTGTTTAATCGTGGCAGGTTAACTGCGTAGAAACGGTGGAAGCTTAGATTAGTACAGGATCTAAGGGTTTAACCAAGACAAATTTCCTATTTAGCAATAGATGTGAAGATAATTGATAAAACCTGATAAATCAAGGTGATAATAAACCATACCTGTTCCTGTAATAAAAGGACCTTGAAATAACAACTTTAATGCAGAAAAGCAAGAGACCGATGCAATCTGTAAAAGCCAAAAATGTGACAGCGTGATTTATGTGCAAGGAATAGTACGGATTATGTGTAAAGGGTATAACTTGTAAATAGTGTTTAAATGACTTATCTGAGTGTTATTTGGAAAGAATGGTATAGCTTGAATTTAGATACGTATGAAGTTAAGAACCGTGGTGAACATTATGTTTATTACAGAAAAATACTTAAATGGTTTAACAAGGTAGGAAAACACAGGGCTGGTAGTTAACCATATAATGTAACCGCAAACTGATATGAAGGAATAAATAATAGTAGGACTGTGATTAGAACTTATGCATGCTTAGTTTAAAAGAATAGAAATAACCGAATGTAAATTAGTAAGATGGTGTTTGTGAATTTAACCATACGAATAGGTTAGTGCTGAAATAACCGAACGGAAAAAGTGAATACAGATAATAATGAGCATAAACATGAAATATTCATTCGGTTGTTTCCGTACGAAAATGCATTAAATGATAGCGAAATGAGCCGAACGTTCGTGCGTTTTTTGGCGCGAATGGAGATATTAACGAAAAGCGTGTATTCGTGAAAATGCGAAAGAGGGAGCCTACCCCTACGTTTTTAGGCCCGAACGGCGGGGAAATAGCGAACGCTAATTCCCACGCCTTGCTTACGTGAACGCGCCGGTCTCGTGACCGGAAGTCGGGTACCTCGACCGGAGGGAAACGGAGTGGAAGGACCTCGGACGGACGGAGGATTGCACAGGGCGACTGGCTGCTGGAAACAGGTACAGTTCTGGCGGGAAGCTGGACCGGAAGTGCTGGTTGCTAAGGACAATCAGTTGAGCGGCAGCGGTGAGTAGGGGCTGGGAGCTTAAGTAGGGGACTTACTCCTCCCACAAATTCAGGCCTAATGGCCTTTCTACATGTGTATGTATATATGTATATGTATGTTTAAACATTTGATCTCCCTTTACAGGAAGTGTTTAGGAAGGCTGTGCACTTTGCAGGGAGGTGTGACTAGGGCTGCATTAACAAAAATGACTTAACTCCTAAATGACAGAAAATTGTGCAGTGATACTGCAGAGGCATGAGCTATACACCAAAACTGCTTCAGTTTTTTTTTTTTGATGACTAAAGTGTATGTTTAAGTATTTCACTGCTAAGAGGCCATATTTGTTTTTTTGTTTTTTTTGGGAGGGGAGTTGTAACTAAAGGAGGATTTATGCCTGACCACTGCTATTACATGCTATTTACGGTGCTTTAAGTCCTTGAAGATTTGAGAAAATGATGAACTATTTGAAAGTTGCTTAAAGTTAGAACAAAAATGTCTTTCCTGCTGCATGTCGTTTTTTTTGTTTTTTTTTCTTACTTAAAGTTAATATGTATGTGCATATATATGTACCTGTGTTGTTTGAAGATGAAAGCTTGGTTTCTTTCAGGCAGCATGCAAAGCAATAGAGGTGGCAAAATCCCAAAATATCACAAAACTTGTTCTTTACACAGACAGCATGTTTACAATAAACGGTAAGCAGCAAACTATGGAATTCCTTTTTTATTATAATTGTGGAGTTTCCTTTTTTTTTATTTTTTTTTTTGGTTTTTCACTTTTTTTTTACTTTTTCTTTTAGGTATCACTAAATGGATCAATTCTTGGAAGAGTAAAAACTGGAAGCTTAGCACAGGGCAAAATGTTATTAACAGAGAAGACTTTGAAAAGCTTGATAAACTAATTGAGGGAATAGAAATTAAATGGGTAAGCGCATGATCAGTTAATTTAATGTTAAACAAGAATATTACTAATATAGGTACTGTATTTGTGTGTGTGTGTGTGTGCACCTAATCTAATTTAATGAATTACCAAATATCTGGTTGCCGTAAAATGTCAGAGATATTATGTTATTTATATAGCACCAACAAATTCCGCAGCCCTTTACAATGGGTGGACGAACAGACATGTAGTTGTAACCAGACAAGTTGGACACAAAGGAACAGAGGGGTTGAGGGCCCTGCTCAATGAGTTTACATGCTAGTGGGAGTGGGGTAAAATGACACAAAAAGGTAAGGATCGTATTCGACTAATGACAGTTACAAGAGAGGAATCAGTCGGGTGCTATTAATAGTTTAATTGATACGCTTTTATGAAGAAGTGGGTTTCCAATGATTTTTTTTTGAAGGAGTGGAGACTGGGTGAGCATCTTACTGAGGAGGGAAGCAAGTTCCACAGGAACGGTGCAGCCCTCGAGAAATCTTGAAGGCGTGCATCAGAGGTGGGAGTACGGACAGAAGATAGACGTAAGTCTTTAGCAGAGCGTAAGGGTCTGGAGGGGGCACATACTTGTGTAGTAGGGAGGATAGATAGGTGGGAGCAGAAATACTCCAATCCATTGTTTATAATCTCAATTAGTTACAAATATACATTTTATGGTGACCTCAACATGTATGTATGTCCCAGTGCTGCCTTTACAGTAAAGTCCTCTGTGAAAATCTGTAGGAGTTGGATCTGGACCGTATTGGGCATTGTAACAGAATATATATTGACTTATACATTTTTCCCTGTGTTTTAGATGCACATACCAGGCCATGCTGGATTTAGTGGAAATGAAGCAGCTGATAGACTCGCTCGTGAAGGCGCTAAGAAGTCACTTGAAATAGAATAGGTCTTCAAACTCCTGTTTGGGCATAAACTCCAATAAACTTGCTTTGAGCTCTACTGAATATTTTAAGACTAAAGAAGACCTCTGGTTTATCTGTATAATCACTTTCCTGAAAGAGAAGATCAACACCAATCTGATATCTGCAACCCATACAGCAACAATAATATTTATATAAATGCATGAATGTTTTACAATTTAGCAGAATATCAACATTTTCCAGTTTAATTCACTCTAATAAGCAAAACATGCATTGGCAAATTTTGGTTTTGAATGTGCTGGGCAAACAATTTTTGTGCACATCTCCCACTCTGCCATCGCACCCTTCCCCATTGAAAATTTTGAATAGAAATTAACTGTGGAATATGTGCTATAGACTCTCCAGGCTTGTGACTATTAGAACTGGTTGGTAGCGTAAGGCATGACATTTTGAGAGAGAGGTAAGTGTGTCCATATTAGTAAGGCTTTACTGACTGATGTATAAGAAATTTTATGTAATTTTCTTACCGATTTAATGGAATCCATAAATGTATGTTTTGCTCAATTAGTACCTTGAAATATGGAGTTTCATTTTGTACTTTTCCTTGAATTGTTTTCTGGCAGCTTTAATGAGGCTATTGTATAGTGGATGCTTTAAAGCAAATTATTATTTTTTTTAATAACATTCTTTAAATATTCATTGTGTAAAATTTTAATTTATTGGTTTCACGTCTAGTTTGCCTGTAAAGCAATTTGCCAATACACTAGATGTCAAAATAACTTTATTTTATACTTTGTTTCTGTAATTCATGATGATTTCTATGAACGGGTACCAATTATGCAAGAAACAGGACAAATACAAAAAGAATTAATTAATTAGTTTTGCTCAGTTTTAAAGAGCACCTATGATGCAACAGGTCAGGTGTACCCAAGAGGTAGATTCCACCCCCCCCCCCAAGAGGTTGTAAAACTACAATTTTCATTTCCGCAGCTGTGAAGTAGTGGTGGATCGGCAGTATACTAGTGTGCTTTTTAATTTTTAAATCAGGCAGCTGATTCTCAAAGCGTTACAGGGAGAAGGATATAGTACCTCCGAGAATTCAGCAGTGAGAAGCAGGCTTACTCCTGCTAGCCCATACAAATATTGTATCATCTTGACTAAGCAGAGGGGTGGGCTTTAGGTAGGCAGGAGATTCCGGAGTGAAAACTTTAGCAGGCAACAGGTTACCATGGGGAGCATTAAGTATCAAACCTGCTGATATCTTCATTGACATGTGCTTTTTACAGCACTGTATCTGACTAGTAATGACTACTGCTAAAGTATTGACCAAGTGAAGTTTGTCAAAACTATTGAAAGTGTTGGAAAATAATTTTGGAAGAAATTAAATTTAAAGATACAAAGCAGAAACTGTTCATGTAAGGATTTTCATTAACGAACTTGCTAACTTCTGCAAGGCAGTTAACTGCAGGTAAATTTAAATTAATCAGTCAGAAATGTAGGCACAGAAAGAATGTCATTTCTAATGGTCTCAATGGCAAACCAATTAAACACAGATTAAAACAAATAAAATGCATTCATTAATTTGCAGTATCAAAGCGGAGTAAGCTATATTGACCATGTTTCATGGAGGTAATACCACCAGCCTTGCTCTTTGTCCACAGGGACTACTGGCAGTGCACGTGTGGTATGCACATTTAAGGCTGGCACTCGTACTAAGGGTCAAACAAAGTGACTAATGATGTGATGAGAGCTTCAAATTGCACATGCGCAATGCACTTTTCAGGCATTCCTAGGGATAGGACACTGGTTAGATCAGTGTTTCCCGTAGGAGGGTGAGTGGAAAACACCAGGCTGAAGAAGCCTGTATAAATAATTTAAAAAATCTTATGTAGCTGCTTATTACCTGGCAGAATGAGGCAATGTTCGATTTCAAAGCTAAAACTTTTGAGTGAGTGCGGTCTCAAACTGATGGATGTCATTTAATAAATATATATTGCTTATATATAATTGTGCATTGCTTCAGAGCTGAGGGGAAAACTTTCAAAAGCTTGTCTTTTAAATATTTGTTTACTAAAAAAGGTATCAATGCACACCGAAAAAAAAACAAGAAACAAAACACACGAATGGGTCAGCGCTAAATAACCAAACCGTGGTAAGGAGGCAACAACCCTAAAAGGTGATTCCTCTTAACCCTATAAAAGAATGTCACAAACAAAAAAAGGAGAGAAGGGCTGTGCCACAGAAAATCACCATAACAAGAGACAATTGGAAAATAAAAGTATAAAACAAGATATAAAAGTTCTTGCATAAAAAGATGCCTCTAACTTAGAGGTAAGTGCAGCTGTGGCTGCTTGATAAAGCGTAAGTTCTTTGGACTTGGGGGGTGGGTTGTATAGTTGTTCAAGTTGCTTGTGTATCCATATATAAAAGGAGATAAAAAGCAGGGGAAATATGTGCAATATGTCAAAACCCAATAATTGGATATAATCAAAGTAGCGCTATCACACTCACATGTAAAAGAACTCTAGCGTATTTTGCGTACAGTGTTACAATCCCCACTTATCGCATATGATGAGAAACGTCCACAGCAGTAGAAGTGCCCGGAACGCAGGAGAAAGTAAAAAAGGCAACAAATATTGCTCGGAACTCGGGAGAAAGTAAAAAAAAAAAAAAAAACCTGCTCTCAATAAGATAATTGAATCTTTATAAAATAGATCAAATATTATACTTGTGAGTATAATATTTGGTCTATTTTATATATGTTTCAATTATCTTTATTGAGAGCAGGTTTTAATTTTTTTTTTTTTTTTTTACTTTCTCCCGAGTTCCGAGCACTTCTACCGCTATGGTAATTTCTCATCGTATACTATAAGTGGGGGATTGTATAACTGTACGCAACATACGCTACAGCTCTTTTACATGTGAGTGTCATACAAGCGGAGTTGTATTTAAATTTACCTGCCCCTTCCTGCTAAGGCCACACCTCTTCCTGTTAACTAACACATTTTGACTCACACTCACAGACCAGCACACACTCTTAGATACACTGACACACACACACACACACACACACACACACACACTGATTTGACACAATCTGGCAGACACATACAATCATTCAGACACACACATTCAATGACACTCACTCACATTCACTTACACACACACACTTTCCCCAAACACTCACATTTATTATTTTTTTTTTAATTTAAATCCATCCAGCCTCCCTACTTTTGTGAGAACTGGGTGGATTTTTCACCTGGTTTCCAGTGAGGCTGCCGGGCAGGGAGGCGGGCGGCTGCGCTTAGCTGTCAGCGAGGGAGCTGTGATCTCCCTGCTCAGCCTCCATAGACATTGTCGCTAAGCGAGAGAATGTGTTAGTCCCACAGCCGTCGCTAGTGATTTGTGTTAAGTTAGTCATATACCATAAGAAAAAATTGTCCTGTCATATCTTTTGACTGCATTGGAATTTCAATGAAATTGTAACACAGTCCTTATGAGCATTTCATAAACATTTTATACAAAATGCTCTTATTTTTTTTTTCGAGGGAGAGATGGAAGTGGGGAGTTACAGGGTCGCTTTAATGCAGTTCTGCATATTTTGTAAATAAACCTAAAGAAAATGGCATCCCAGCCTTGTGTGTGTGTGTGTGTAAAGCTGAGATACTGTAGTGGTTAAAAGTGTGTCCCCTCTTCCTCACTTTATAAAAATGTATATTTAAAGAGAATTCAGCACTTTTACAAAAAAATGATTATTCACTAGAGTGTAAACTGTTGGAAATGTAAGATGAATTTCAAAATCTAGGTCAAAATAGCTGACTTCTAAACTAAGCTCACTTTGATATTTTTTTTCCCAAAATGGTCCATTTTGGCTTAAAATGTGAAATTCACATTTTAGCTAATACCTAAGCCTTCTTAACAGAAATAAACATGGACAGCAGCTTCATTATTATTATTATGTTTAAATAAAGTTTTTAAAACTCTGATCAGAGTATATCACCCAGGGACATGTGGAGAGAGAGCTGGGCCATGATACTGCCCTCATTGTGACCCTGCCATACTATAGTCTCTCACCATGAGGGAGAGAGGGGGGGGTCACCATGAGGGAGTGGGGGAGGGGATCTGATCCTGTGATAGGCAGAGCCCACCCTTATAAAGGGTCTGGTTAGCCCCTCCCACCATTCCCCGCGCCCATTATACTCCGAGTCCTGAGAGCGGAGCCACCCAGCGGAGCCGCCATGCCGTATGCAGTGCGCAGGGGCCGCCAGGCCGGGGTGTATGACTCCTGGTGAGGATGGGCAGCACCGGGCTCAGCTCTGACTCATGGCGACACCACCGCATTTAGCAAGGAGCAGTAATGTCGCCATTTTGGGGTAGTTGGTGCAGTAATATCGCCATTTTGGGGTAGTTAGGAGCGGTAATATCGCCATTTTGGGGTAGTTAGGAGCAGTAATGTCGCCATTTTGGGGTAGTTGGTGCAGTAATATCGCCATTTTGGGGTAGTTAGGAGCAGTAATGTCGCCATTTTGGGGTAGTTAGGAGCAGTAATATCGCCATTTTGGGGTAGTTAGGAGCGGTAATGTCGCCATTTTGGGGTAGTTAGGAGCGGTAATATCGCCATTTTGGGGTAGTTAGGAGCAGTAATGTCGCCATTTTGGGGTAGTTAGGAGCAGTAATATCGCCATTTTGGGGTAGTTGGGGCCAGTAATGTCGCCATTTTGGGGTAGTTAGGAGCAGTAATGTCGCCATCTTGGGGTAGTTGGGGGCAGTAATGTCGCCATTTTGGGGTAGTTGGGAGCAGTAATGTCGCCATTTTGGGGTAGTTGGGGGCAGTAATGTCGCCATTTTGGGGTAGTTAGGAGCAGTAATGTCGCCATTTGGGGTGTTGGTGCAGTAATATGCCATTTGGGGTAGTTAGGAGCGGTAATGTCGCGCCATTTGGGGTAGTTAGGAGCAGTAATATCGCCATTTTGGGGTAGTTGGGGCCAGTAATGTCGCTATTTTGGGGTAGTTAGAGCAGTAATGTCCCTATCTTGGGGTAGTTAAGGTGTAATGTCGCCATTTTGGGGTAGTTAGGAGCAGTAATGTCGCCATTTTGGGGTAGTTAGGGCCAGTAATGTCGCCATTTTGGGGTAGTTAGGAGCAGTAATGTCGCCATTTTGGGGTAGTTAGGAGCATTAATATCGCCATTTTGGGGTAGTTGGGGCCAGTAATGTCGCCATTTTGGGGTAGTTGGTGCAGTAATATCGCCATTTTGGGGTAGTTAGGAGCAGTAATATCGCCATTTTGGGGTAGTTGGGGCCAGTAATGTCGCCATTTTGGGTTAGTTGGGGGCAGTAATGTCGCCATTTTGGGTTAGTTGGGGGCAGTAATGTCGCTATTTTGGGTTAGTTGGGAGCAGAAATATCGCCATTTTGGGGTAGTTGGGAGCAGTAATATCGCCATTTTGGGGTAGTTGGGAACAGTAATATCGCCATTTTGGGGTAGTTGGGAGCAGTAATATCGCCATTTTGGGGTAGTTAGGAGCAGTAATGTCACCATTTTGGGGTAGTTAGGAGCCATAATATCGCCATTTTGGGGTAGTTAGGAGCGGTAATATCGCCATGTTGGGAGCAGTAATATCGCAATTTTGGGGTAGTTAGGAGCCATAATATCGCCATTTTGGGGTAGTTAGGAGCAGTAATATCGCCATTTTGGGGTAGTTGGGAGCAGTAATATCGCCATTTTGGGGTAGTTGGGGGCAGTAATGTCGCCATTTTGGGGTAGTTAGGAGCAGTAATATCGCCATTTTGGGGTAGTTAGGAGCCATAATATCGCCATTTTGGGGTAGTTAGGGGCAGTAATGTCACCATTTTGGGGTAGTTGGGGCCAGTAATGTCGCCATTTTGGGGTAGTTAGGAGCAGTAATATCGCCATTTTGGGGTAGTTGGGGCCAGTAATGTCGCCATTTTGGGGTAGTTGGGGCCAGTAATATCGCCATTTTGGGGTAGTTAGGAGCAGTAATATCGCCATTTTGGGGTAGTTAGGGCCAGTAATGTCGCCATTTTGGGGTAGTTGGGGGCAGTAATGTCGCCATTTTGGGGTAGTTAGGAGCGGTAATGTCGCCATTTTGGGGTAGTTAGGAGCGGTAATGTTGCTATTTTGGGGTAGTTAGGAGCAGTAATATCACCATTTTGGGGTAGTTAGGAGCAGTAATGTCGCTATTTTGGGGGTAGTTAGGAGCAGTAATATCGCCATTTTGGGGTAGTTGGGAGCAGTAATATCGCCATTTTGGGGTAGTTAGGAGCCATAATATCGCCATTTTGGGGTAGTTAGGAGCAGTAATATCGCCATTTTGGGGTAGTTAGGAGCAGTAATATCGCCATTTTGGGGTAGTTGGGAGCAGTAATGTCACCATTTTGGGGTAGTTAGGAGCCATAATATCGCCATTTTGGGGTAGTTAGGAGCAGTAATATCGCCATTTTGGGGTAGTTGGCACTAATATCGCCATTTTGGGGTAGTTAGGAGCAGTAATGTTGCTATTTTGGGGTAGTTAGGAGCAGTAATATCGCCATTTTGGGGTAGTTAGGAGCAGTAATGTCGCCATTTTGGGGTAGTTAGGAGCAGTAATGTCGCCATTTTGGGGTAGTTAGGAGCAGTAATGTCGCCATTTTGGGGTAGTTAGGGGCAGTAATGTCGCCATTTTGGGGTAGTTGGGGCCAGTAATGTGCATGTTTGGGGTAGTTAGAACAGTAATATAAGCCATTTGGGGTAGTTGGGGGCAGTAATGTCGCCATTTTGGGTAGTTGGGGCCAGTAATGTCGCCATTTTGGGGTAGTTAGGAGCAGTAATGTCGCCATTTTGGGGTAGTTGGGGCCAGTAATGTCGCCATTTTGGGGTAGTTAGGAGTAGTAATATCACCATTTTGGGGTAGTTAGGGCCAGTAATGTCACCATTTTGGGGTAGTTGGGGGCAGTAATGTCGCCATTTTGGGGTAGTTGGGGCCAGTAATGTCGCCATTTTGGGGTAGTTAGGAGCAGTAATGTAGCCATTTTGGGGTGGTTGGTGCAGTAATATCGCCATTTTGGGGTAGTTAGGAGCAGTAATATCGCCATTTTGGGGTAGTTGGGGCCAGTAATGTCGCCATTTTGGGTTAGTTGGGGCCAGTAATGTTGCCATTTTGGGGTAGTTGGGGGCAGTAATATCACCATTTTGGGGTAGTTGGGAGCAGTAATATCACCATTTTGGGGTAGTTGGGAGCAGTAATATCGCCATTTTGGGGTAGTTGGGAGCAGTAATATCGCCATTTTGGGGTAGTTAGGAGCAGTAATATCGCCATTTTGGGGTAGTTAGGAGCAGTAATATCGCCATTTTGGGGTAGTTAGGAGCAGTAATGTCGCTATTTTGGGGGTAGTTAGGAGTAGTAATATCGCCATTTTGGGGTAGTTGGGAGTAGTAATATCGCCATTTTGGGGTAGTTGGGAGTAGTAATATCGCCATTTTGGGGTAGTTGGGAGCAGTAATATCGCAATTTTGGGGTAGTTAGGAGCAGTAATATCGCCATTTTGGGGTAGTTGGGAGCAGTAATGTCACCATTTTGGGGTAGTTAGGAGCCGTAATATCGCCATTTTGGGGTAGTTAGGAGCAGTAATATCGCCATTTTGGGGTAGTTGGGAGCAGTAATGTCACCATTTTGGGGTAGTTAGGAGCCATAATATCGCCATTTTGGGGTAGTTAGGAGCGGTAATATCGCCATGTTGGGAGCAGTAATATCGCAATTTTGGGGTAGTTAGGAGCAGTAATATCGCCATTTTGGGGTAGTTGGGAGCAGTAATGTCACCATTTTGGGGTAGTTAGGAGCAGTAATGTCGCCATTTTGGGGTAGTTAGGAGCAGTAATGTCGCCATTTTGGGGTAGTTAGGAGCAGTAATATCTCCATTTTGGGTAATGTCGCCATTTTGGGGTAGTTAGCCGTAATATCGCCATTTTGGGGTAGTTAGGAGCAGTAATGTCGCTATTTTGGGGTAGTTAGGAGCCATAATATCGCAATTTTGGGGTAGTTAGGCGCCATAATATAGCCATTTTGGGGTAGTTAGGAGCAGTAATGTCGCCATTTTGGGGTAGTTGGGGGCAGTAATGTTGCCATTTTGAAGTAGTTGGGGGCAGTAATGTTGCCATTTTGAAGTAGTTGGGGGCAGTAATGTCACCATTTTGGGGTAGTTGGGAGCAGTAATATCGCCATTTTCGGGTGGTTAGGAGCAGTAATATCGCCATTTTTTGGTAGTAAGGAGCAGTAATATCGCCATTTTTTGGTAGTTAGGAGCAGTAATAGTAGGAGCAGATATTGCTATAGGGACCGTGTCCCTTGGTTTCAGGAAATCTGGTGCCTCTGAGGAAGTTTTAGCTGGGTTGCTGGTGATTTTTTTTCTGGGTGCCCAGTGATTCATGCCCATTGCTATGCTGAAGTTGTGAAGCCTAGCATCTCAGTTATTTTTGTATTGAACACTTTACATGGCGAGGTTTTTTGGCATGCAAAAGGTCACAAGTCCCAGCAATCAAGCTGTAGTTAGAATGCCAGTTTCAAAAACTATTCCAGACTGCTTGTTTATGTTTTTCTCTGCTTCATTCTACTGCAGGGAGGAGTGTCAAGAACAAGTGCACCGCTACCCTAATGCAAAATTCAGGAAATTCTCGACCTATGACAATGCGTGGAGTTATGTAGATCGCGATGAGGAAGACTCTTCTTATACTTCCAATTACTCATCAAAGCACAGAAGAAGAGGTTAGCCTAATTACACTTTATTTTTTATGATTTAATCTTCGTTTAAAAAAAAAAAAAAAAGGCTATGGTGTCCTAGTAGTTGATTAGTCGTGTGGCCTTACTTTCAATTGTTTCTTTACTTTTAGGTTTCTCAATCTTAACTACACTCCATATACTTAAAGTGGCTTGACAATTGTGACAAAAGGTAGCTTAAGTCATGCTCCAATATCTTTGTTCAGCTAACAAAGGGTGAAGCTCGCCTTAAAGGGACACTGTTGGCACCCAGACCACTTTAGCTCATTGACGTGGTCTGTGTGCTGTCCTTTTATCACTTAGTGCTCCAGTGTAAACATAGTAGTTCTCTGGTACTGCAATATTTTACATTGCAGCACGAAGTCTGCCCTCTGTGGCTGTCTATCAGACAGCCACTGGGGGTGCTTCTGAAATCGTAGCGGACTTTTGGTCTGTTGTGACGCTGCATGTCCACACGCTCTGCATGAGGACCTCCAGCGTCAGACTTTCCCATAGGAAAGCATTGATTTAATACTTTGCTATAGGGAGGTCTAATGTGCGTGCGCGCCATTTGCCGCACGTGCTCATTAGACCCAGCTTGTCGCAGGACAGAGGAGGGGGCAGAGGTTCGACCCAGCACCGAGGGACATTGGAGCTGGGATAAGATATATATATTTTTTTTTAAAGAGGGTGGGGGAGGGGGTTTAACCCTTTATTTACTGGTGAGGGGGGGGGGTGTGGCAGAGGGATCGGTAGTGCCAGGAATACAGCTTTGTATTCCTGGCACTAAAATGACTACAGTATCCATTTAAGCTCAACCTATTGTCAAGATTGATAATTGTAGGAAAAATACATAGGACAAAGTAGTCCCTACTTTATCTTATGATTTTAAAGATGAACAGATTCTGAAAGAGGAAACAATATGATAAATTAGACTTTGGGGTGAAAAGGCCACTTTGGCCAATTAAAGCTATGCCAAGTAATATTGCAACACACTTGTCAAACTGTGTACTATGGAAGGTTAAAGGATCTTAACATGCATAGCTTGGGGGAATATGAAAAATAAATTCTAAATACATACAGGGAATCAACACCTTAAAGGAGGGTACTATATTTAAAAGAAGAAAAACTACCACAAGAGGACGTCATCTTAAATTAGAGGGGCAAAGGTTTAACTGAGAGGGTAGTGGATGCATGGAATAGCTTTCCAGCTGAAGTGGTAGATGTTAATACAGTAAAGTAGTTTTAAGCATGCGTGGGATAGGCATCCGGCTATACTAGCTATAAGATAAGGCCAGGGACTAATTAACGTATTGAGAAAATTGGGCAGACTAGATGGGCCAAATGATTATCTGCCGTCACATTCTGTGTTTCTATGTAATGTAGGTGAATAGCACAGGCCAAGTTATTTTCTCAACCTTTGCTGTATTCTGATATTCACAGCTTTTTCTTTATTAACTTGACATTTGAATCCTAATGTACTCATTAGTACATGGGTAATAAAATAGGTACATGCTCCAGTGTTGAAAATAGTTTGTCGTGCAACTCTGTTTCTTACTGCAGATACTTCATCTACTGTTGTGTACACCGATGGCTGCTGTACACGAAATGGCCAATATGAAGCACGAGGTGGGATTGGTGTTTACTGGGGTCCCAATCATCCATTGTGAGTACCTAATATTTATTTTTCTTTTAATGCAATATTTACTTTTCTGACAGCATTTTTTTCTGCTACAGTAGGCTTTACATATTGCACTTTATTCAATGTTCTGTAGAATATCCTCTTATGGAATACTCCATTATTATGTATTCATAATAATGCATTCATTTTTGTTTTTTGCGTTTTTCACAGAAAAACTGCACTTTCACTGATACCAGTGCCATTGTACATTTTACTGCTCTAAAACATTCATTTGTTTTAAGCAATGTCTCACGAGTACAACTGTGCCCCCCATGTACAGGATTTATGGGGTGTTGGAAAGTTGCAGGGTCAAATCGAGAGCTTGCAGATTTCAGTCTTCAAGCCTGGAAATTTGACAATGAAATGGGCATCCAACACATTTGTCCCCGTGACAAAATTTGAAATTTGACAGAGAATGTCTGGGCCACTGTCACATCTGAGATTGTATGGCAGCCTGAGTAATAACATTTCCACCATTACGGCATACCATTTTCAAAAGTAGACAACCCAGGGTATTCCAAATGGCATAATTTGAGTTTAGTTTAGCCACTTTATCACAAATGCTGGCCCCATTTAGTGATTGAATTTTTTTTATATATACATGAATTCCATCTTCACAAGAAATGTCATAATCTTGATATGAGTTAGTACAATAAAGCCTCAGTGTTTATTACACACTATCTCACAAATATAACAAACAGGGAGAGGTCAGGGGAATCCAGAAGTCAGAGTAGTTGGTGTAAAAAAAAAAAGCTAATAATTCAGTACTGGCAGCTAACAAAGTAGTCTGAAATCCAGAGCTGAACTATGGAATCACTGTGTGGGACTGGTCCAAAAACAAACTGACCAGTCCCACACAGTGATTCCATAGTTCAGCTCTGTATGATAGACTTTGAAACCGCTTTTGTTATGCAGAGGGCGGGTAAAGCACCAATAACTGGAGTCCTTTCAGACTTCTTTCTTGTAACAAACACAGCACTTTCTCTGGGGGTGACCTTTTGGAGGGTGTAGACATGGGATTCAGAAGGAAAGTGTTTGCCAAACAGTCTTTGGACATCTTCTGATTCCAATGTGGGAAGATTGGGGGCCTGGGAAAATAAAATATCAGACATAACTTTCACCATAAAATCTAGGAAATGGGTATGGTCAACCTAATACTTTTGTGAAGCACATCGGAGTTAAAAATTGCACTCTGGGTTAGGTAGATTGCGGTTTTCTTCTAGTTTTTGGTTCACCAGGTAAGGCTGTATACAGTACACTGGTCAGCAAAGTCTACTCCTCTCATATAATTCTTGCATTCTACAATGCATTTCAGCTTTTCCAACTGCTCTCAGACACTCGCACTATACTTTTGTCGTGCATTGTATACTGCATGTATACATCCTTCCTTCATAACTGTGAACTGAAGGGCAAGCAACTCATCCTGGCAGAGAGCTTGTCAGGCATTGGGGGTAACCACTGCAAGTTGTTGTTTTTTTTTTTTTTTCACACTGCCACAATCTAGAATTTCAAAACAAAGTTTCAATGGGGAAGGGGAAAGGTCAGATCCCAGACAATCTTGTCATTTTACCTACAGAATCAAGGCATGCAGGTGGGTCAAGATGGCTATCCTTCCCATGATAAATCTGAAACATCCATGTATAGCCAGTAGTGGATTTGCATAATTTGTAGCATTTCACAACCATATCCTGCCTGCTAAGGAATGCCCGCTATGGAATATTTTGTTTATAAAGCAGTATACCTTTAAATCTTACTAATATAATACACGTTTGTCATGGATTTAGTTGATACTGATACTCTGCTTTTTGACAGTAACCATAACTAGGGTTTGAGCCCAAAGTTTGAGCATTTCTGCAACATCCATGGGGTGCCACATGTTTATTCTATTGTAATGTGACCCTGGATTGTCAGCAAAATACTGGTTGGCAAACAAGTTGGTATGCTAAAATATCATCCCTGGATTAGAGGAATTCCCTTCTCTGGTGCGCTTGTCTATGTTCGGGGAAATTTACCCTAATGTAGACATGCGCACCAGAGCAGGGAATCCCTCTAATTTGTTTGAGGAAAATTCCACGAACATAGACCAGATCTCTAACGTGGGCAATCCCTTGAATCCCCACGCTAGAGACCTGGTCGTAAGTGCTAGCCATTAAAAAGTGAGGACCACCTGTAATACATTCTCCTCCAGACCCTGCAACCCAACCACTCTACCCAGTGTTAACCCCTTCCCTGCCAGCCATCCTCCCTACCCAGTTTTAACTAAATAAATAGTTATAGAGAGGTGACACAAAGCTCTATAGGCATTTATCAGTTTGGCTGTTTATATTTATTTATCATAAACCTATAACACTATATGATATCTAATGTGGTGAGGAAGTGTGTGTGTGATGTGGTATGTAATTTCTAGTGTCTGAATGCTGTATTTGTAGTGTAACTTGGGTTAAGTACTTCTAAGGCGGCATGTCATTACAGATTCTCCTAGAGAATCACTGCAGTTTGGTCATTGGTGGACAGACATTGTGGGCGTGTCATTGCTGATTCTGTAGAGCAGCATTTCCCAGTTGTGGTTCCGTGGCGATTTGCCGATCAAGTGGCCCATTAACTTATGGCCACCCTTTCGGTATCGCTGTAATACTGGGGCCAGGTCACGGTCTTAAATGGCTGTGGCGTCTGGCCAAGCCACTTTGTTATTGGATGCTGGGAGGAGCTGACAGTGTCTCTTCCTCCCAGACTTGGAGAAGGCAGAGAGCACTCCAGCATCCAACACCCAGCAACAGCACTCTAAGCAAGTCACCCTCCTACAGATAAAAGGTAACTTAACAGATGGTGACTTCAAATATAAATATTACGACCTGTGTGTTAACCTGCGTGTGTGTATATCTGTGTCAGCCTATCTGTAAGTGTAAAGTGAGGATAAGATATTAGATACGACTCTAATGTGGTTCCAGGAGTAATAAAGCAATAATATCACATGAAATAAAACTTAACAAAATATGTAAATGTATATCTGTAAGTGTGCATGCATGTGTCAGTGTGTAGCTGTTTGTGTATGTCAGTATATCTGAGTATGTGTGTATGTGCAAGTGTATCTCAGTGGGTGTGTGTGACAGTATGTTTCTTAATGTGCATACATCCCAGCAATCAAACTCAACACAACATTCAAACACAAACATGAAATACAAAGACACCCATGAACTCCAACTCTAAAACTAAATACTAACACTCAAACCCCAATACTACACACAAATGTACATCCGCATTAAAATCCAACACTACATCCAAACACACCACTGCACGTAATTGTAAGCATAACATACAAACTCACCCCTGTTTTAAAAAGCTAAAATTACCTACAAACACCAACATCTGTTTACTGTCCGTAGAAATTTGCCAAATATATAAAACATTACGCTCTGTTAATTAAAAGGTTTGTGCTACAACAAGACATTTTTCGGGGTTCCATGAAGTTTGTACACTATGTCAAATGGTTCCATGGGAAAAATTCATTGCAACCCCTGCAATAGAGAATCACTGGAGCATGGCCATTGGTGGACAGTCTGGCTGAAAAAAAGGAAGCTGGGAGATGTAACATGCAGTCACATGAGAAAAAAAATCTGATCAAAGTAAAGCTGAAAACTGGTACTTTTAAAGCTAATTTTCACACTAAAGGCAACTGGTGACAGTAGGTTTAGTGTGTGGGGCTTGGAGGGGGGTGGGGTAAGGATATGCATTTTAACTGTTCTAGGAGTAGAGTGGGGTACAGAGACAATGTGTCAGCCAATGTTTAAAATCATTGGTTGACTCACTGTAACCATCATCAGTGAAAGGCTTTGAATGGGATTGCATGCTGCCGATTAGCCACAGGAGGACTGCCTGGGCTGCCAGACGTGACCTCTGAGCACGATCTGAAGCTTGGGATGGAATGCCAGAATGGGTAAGGGCTAAACCGCCGGGCACCCACAGCATTAATGGGTTAAATGTATACTCCAGCAGCATCCATCTTCAATTGACTTTCAGGAAGCATGGAGTAATACTGGTCAGGGGCACCGCTGACACTCTAAGCCAATCAGTTGCTCCCCATTCATAAAAAAAAAAAAAAGTACCTTGAAGTAGTACATGGAAGTCTGCTTCATACAAAAAATATTGCAACAACCTATGGGAAAATAAATTATTTATCTTTACAGAAATGTTTCAGAAAGGCTTGAAGGGAGACAGACTAATCAAAGAGCTGAACTTGAGGTACACATTTACTTGTATACATTGTAAAATATATAGGTGCTATAAATGTTAGTGTCTTTGAATTGTCTAAATATTTTTTCATTTAGGCTGCGAGTAGAGCAGTGGAACAAGCAAGAGCCCAAAATGTACCTAGACTTCAAGTTTGCACAGACAGCAAGTTTACTACTGATGGTAAGTCACAATTGTATTGATTTCTCATGCAGACCACAAACCTCACCTTCCCTGTGAAATTTAGAGTATTCAGTCTGCTTTTACTGTACTAGAAGCCACTAGTTCCATAAAGTACAAGAATATGCCTTCAATTCTTATACCTGTGATTTTTTTATTTTATTTTTTTATGATTTTTTTTTTGGTTATTAAATTATGGATTTCTCTAGCCCCGAATTGCCAGTCTGTGTAAAAGTTGTATAATACCATAAAAAAAAGTATGGGGAAGGAAAGCTGCCATGATTGATCAGGATAAAAATACAGTAAGCTATCACTTGACATAATATTCAAGCTGTTACCATTTGGCATCTGTCCCCAGAAAGCTTTTGGCGGCATGGCCCACTCTCTGTGCTGCTAATCCCCTCTCCCTGCATGCTCTACCTGATATCTGCCAAGCAAAGCTCTGGAAAGAGGCTTGTTTTTATTAAATTTTTTTGATACTACTTTAAAGTGGCACTGTCACATCAGCTACCCCTCCTCTGAGTATTTCAGAATCTTTATTAAATACTCACATTGACAGTTAGAATCGCACTGAAATGCCAGTTTAGACAGATATATTAAAACAAAGTAGGGACTGCAAACTTCTGTTCCTAATCTTATGTGTGCTCTGTTTATTTAGGCATGAATAAATGGGTGCATTCATGGAAGCAAAATGGATGGAGGGCCTACAATGGTGGAGAAGTGGTCAACAAGGAATCCTTCCAGAAGTTGGACAGTCTGTGTAAGGGCATGGATGTCACTTTTGTGAGTATGAACAAAAAGTGTTCTCACTAGTGTACCCGAGGAAGGGAGGGCAAACCCCCAATGCCACACAGTTACATCAAAAGGGCCCAGGCACAACCAGCAGTTTCCTCAAGGTTGGCAGTCTTTATTTTAGGAACAGTTTACTGCAAAATTTTGAACCTCAATCGAACCTTTGTCAAGCCTGTCTAACTTGAGGAAAAAGTTTGTGTGCCTGAGCTCTCTTAAAGGAACACAAACATGTATTCCTGACCCTATAGTGTTAAAACTACCATTTAGGTGGCTTGCTCTCCCCTAACCTCCTTAGAAAGGATTAAAACTGATCTTATTTCAGCCCTGATCTGCCTCCTTGGTGAACTCATCAGAGTTTACCATTTTTAGCCAATCCAATGTGTTAGCTGAAGTCAGCATGTGGGCAGGGCCAAACAGCACCTCCTCATAGAGATGCATTGAATCAATGGAAGGAAAATTCATTCTGCATGGAGACGCATAGCGGCAGTTCATCTGAGGAGTGGCCAGTGGAGTTATCCCTAGGCTGTAATGCAAACACTGCATTTTCTCTGAAGTCCGTGTTTACTGCAAAAAGCCTGAAGGGAATGATTATACTCACCAGAATAAATACAAAAAGCTGGCCTGACCGCATTTAAAAAGTTTTTTGTTTTTGTTTTTTAAATTAAATCTCCCCCTTCAATTCGGTCTTATTTGTTTGCTTATTGCTTGCAGCTCCCTCCTTGTATATGTAAAATACATACTGGTGATTAAAATCTCCCTCCTGCCCCTACTTGCTATGCCGAGTAGGGGAATGACTACTAAAGTGAGCATCCAAAGACCAATCCAAAAAAGGGGAACCTTACACAGGCAGGTGGGGGATGTCACTTGAGGGGCTGGGGGAGAGACATGTTCATACTTGCGGCATAGACTGAAATTCGGAACCATAAATAATACCTGACTTTCGTCCTAAAACGGATGGAAACTTTCTACGTTCTGTTAGGATGAAATTCGGTCCATTAGCCGGTGCCTTAGTCTAAACGAGAAGATGTTTGGGAATAGCGAATGAAGCAATGCAAGATCAGAGGAAAGGGAGTATGATGGAAAAAATCTTCTGACACAGGAAATAGAGCTGACTTAAGTTTCTCCTGGGTCAGAATGTCAGGCATAGGAAAAAGAAAACTAGATCAGAAAGGAAGAAAAGAACAGATTCTATGAGAAGGAGAAAAGGTAACAATAGCGTGACAATGATGCTCTTAAGCAGATTTGTCACTTTTAGAGATCTTGGCATTCATTGCAAAGACCCCTGAAGGTGACCTCTCCAGAAAGGGTCAAGGCCATGGTGGTCAGACTGGTTTGTTTGAGGCTGTCTCCATCTTCTTTCTGGGGACCCTCATAAATAAGCTCCTAGCGTTCTGGGGAACTTCTATAGATCACAACTTGCGATCAGCAAGTTAATGCCTGAATCTCACAGGAAAAAAGATAAGTCGCGCAAGTCCATAAGACAAAGTAGTCCCTACTTTAATTTATCTTTCTGAAAAAGTATTTGTATTTCGTAAAAAATATTCTTCATAAAATATTGAGGTGACAGGGGACATTCTAGTTACCACAAAAACGTAAGCTAAGGGGCGGGGCCTAGCAGCTGAAGAGAGGATGAAGAACTCTCAGTCGAGAGGTGAACTAGCGGGGCTCACGATGACACCAAATACAATGCCATCCCTGCAAAAATCACTGAAGCGACAACTGCAGCCTACAAGCCTGCATGACACTGGGGAGACTGCCGCTTTCCGGTTGCCCTCAGAGGCAAACTGCTGGCAATCGGACCCCAGTGTCCCCCCCCACTCCCTAATGGACCGGCGGGGGTCATTCTGGTCTCTGAAAGACCCCAACAGCCCAGGGGAAGCACACACAAGCAGTGCTTACCAATCCCAAAATGACGGCAAACACCCCGGAGCCACGACAATGCACACTGGCCCGACATTCTCACGCAGCTGGATGCCACATTTGCAGCCTTCTGGACGAAATAGGCAGAACGGCAGGCTGGGGCATACACTCTGGAAAAGCACCTACCGACGGCACTCACCGCACACCCTCGGCCACGAGGCACACCTCCCAGAAAGAAGGGAGCACGAAAATGGCGCCACCGAAAGCGAAACCTACAGCACGAGTTTACTTTCTTATAGGGATCAACCCATTATCGGTCTGGACGATCTTATCGGCCGATATTCGGTATTTTCAGGAATATCAATATCTGCCTATAGAGATACCGATATTGCATACCAGAACCGCTGGGCACATGACAAGCCTGGAGGGCCCGCAGCAAGATCTTTAGCTCCCCTGTCAAAATCTTGCGAGTCCCCGTAGCAACGCGCTGTGAGATTTAGACAGGAGACCTGCTGGGAAGGTAATTAAGAGCTTGCTGCAGGCCCCCACTGCTCAGTCTATGCCACCGGACCACCAGGGAATGCCATATCCCCCATTTTACACAAATTACATACCTACACAAACACACAAACTCTGCATTCATTATATACACACTACACAAACACACTCTGCATTCATTAACTACACAAGCACACACACACTCTGCATTCATTATATATACACACACTACACAAACACACACTCTGCATTCATTATATATACACACACTACACAAACACACACACAAACTCTGCATTCATATTATATATATATATATATATATATATATATACATATATATACATATATACACACACACACACTGCATTCATTATATACACACACACTGTGTCCACTACATGTGGCATGTATAGTTTGTGCATTTACCTTTAGAAATTGTTTAATTTTTTTCAAAATGGTAAATGTACAGAATATCGGTAAGCTATCGGCCTGAAAATTCAGAGTAACTGTATCTGCTCTAAAAAATCAATATCGGTCGATCCCTACTTTATCTCCTGTTCTGTTTATAGACCTGCAGAAGCCTACTGTATGTAATTAAAGTTAATTTTACAGAACAGGAGAGAAAAGCTTTTAAAGTAAGTTGCATCTGATTGAAAATTAAACCTTGGAGTGAATCCTCAGCCTGGGTCAGTATGGTAGGTCCAGTGTGGGATGCTCTAGTCTGAGTGAACTCTGATCCATATGTGCACTGTCTGTACGTATACCCCTGGGCCGGCATGATGTCCCATTCCAACTTCTGGCACTTTTATATAGTGCACACAAGGGTAGTGTTCGTATGGATCAGAGCTGACTCGCTGCCCTTACCACCCCCCTTTGACTTTGTTCATTTGTGGCAGTAGTTACTCACGGCTTCGGATTTAATTTCAATACAGAGACTAGTAAGTGCACAAAGAAATATCTATTTACACCTTAGACAGTAGGAAAAATATTTGTATCTAATACCTCGTGCCATACCGTGGTTTTGCAATATTAATGACTTTATTTTTTCTCTTCTAAACAGAAACATGTTCCAGGGCACTCTGGACTTGTTGGAAATGAAATGGCTGATCAACTAGCAAGAAAAGGCTCAAGGAAATGAATTATGAAATTCTGATATCTACTTTATTGGTTTTGGGGCATTCAAGTGTTCACTAAATTGACAATCAGAGGAAGCAGATTTTTAGTTTTGGTGTTAACATAGCTAAATTGAATAAAGACAAGATGTACCCCTAGATAGAAAAAATCCAGCAAGGGGTACCAAGAAAGAAAGGGTTACAGTGGTACTAGTAGGGCTTAACCCTTAATTTTACAAAAATTGAAAAAAACATACACAAATGAGGGGAAAGCAACCCTTAAACGAAAGGGAGCGAATCCCCTCAGAAGCAGAACCCCCTATTAGAGCAGTATTAAGGCAGTGGCCAACAGGTATATAAAAATAAAAAAATAAAGTTTTATTCGTTATTTTAAAAAAACACACAGACCACATAAAAATAGATAAATGAAAAATTGGAGGAGCACCAAAGAAAAAAAGAGAGGTTCCCAATATAAATAGATACACATTGGTTAACTGGATACTCAGTAGATAGAGATAGTGCAGCCACAAAGTAGCAAGGTGTGTAGCTATTAACCAATGTGTGTGTGTGTGTGTGTGTGTATATATACACAAACATTATTCAAGTGAACTTGTATGTACTGGGATCCGTGTGTAGGGCAGGGTCCTCCAAAATACAAGTCTATGTATATATAAGAAGGACTCCCCTCCTCCGTTGTCCCCCTTTCCCTTTTCACTCTCTCACTTCTCCTTTCTAAAGTTATATATGCATATAGATCTCTTACTTACTATATAGCAATCAGTATATAAATCAGTCTCAATGGCTTACTGGGTGTAACTCAATTAGATTAGCTTGCTGTAGGTAGAGTTAGTAAATCGAAAGGACAGAGAGAGGTTAAATAGATTGAAAATATAAAGTGGGAGTCAAAAAGGAGGGTATAATCAACATAGACAAAATAAAAAATCTATCAAAAATCAGTCTGTAGGGTGTGGGGAAATTACCCACACCCCGTCAAGCCCAACGCGCGTTTCGGCGACAAAAAAAAATCACCTTTCTCAAGGGCCTCAGTAAGCCTTCTTATATATACATAGACTTGTATTTTGGAGGACCCTGCCCTACACACGGATCCCAGTACATACAAGTTCACTTGAATAATGTTTGTCTATATATATATATATATATATATATATATATATATATATATATATTTAGATACATTGGTTAATAGCTACACACCTTGCTACTTTGTGGCTGCTCTATCTACTGAGTATCCAGTTCACCAATGTGTATCTATTTATATTGGGAACCTCTCTCTTTTTTCTTTGGTGCTCCTCCAATTTTTCATTTATCTATTTTGTGTGGTCTGTGTTTTTTTTTAAATAACGAATAAAACTTTATTTTTTTATTTTTATATACCTGTTGGCCACTGCCTTAATACTGCTCTAATAGGAGGTTCTGAGGGGATTCGCTCCCTTTCGTTTAAGGGTTGCTTCCCCTCATTTGTGTATGTTAACATAGCTAGTTAACTTAAATGAAATCCTTGAATTTCCTCACCACCCATTTACATATCCGTGTTAACTGTGTGTAAACCACACACCTCACTAACTTTTATACTGCTTCAGATATTTATATCTCTATCTATCTCAAGTAGAATGGCTGCTCTCCGGTCTTAAAACTCCAATACTTTATTTAATCAATTAAATAACTACCAATGTTTCAATCCCCGCTAGGGACATTCCTCAGGGTCATCAATAAAACAATGTACACATACATATAAGCGTAATATATACATACTTGAATAATCATAGAAACTCACCAAAGGTGTTGTGCACCTACTGCCAGCGTTCGTTCCGAGTGAACTCTCGTGCATGCGCACGCACCCTCGAGCATGCTCGTCCCTCACCAATCACGTTGTGCGTGAGATCTTGGGAACTGGGGACACGACCCGATCACCATGGTGATCCCCCAACATCTGTACTGGCTATTAACACTAATTTTAAACATCAGCACTTTTCATGCTATAGCTGTTTCAGGGGCACTTCTTTTCCCATTCGTTTATGGGTCTTATATCATTTTAAAGATATACATTAAATTGTATTTATATATGTTCTTATATAATATATCCCTTTTGCACTGACATTTATTCAATTCATTTTCCCCTTTCCTTTTGAGATCCACAATACTGACCCTTTAGTCAGTATTTAGATTACTGTATACTGGTTACATAATCTATTTCAGCACTTTACACTAGCATCATTACATGTTTAAACAGCATGTTTTATTTATTTATAATTGGCCATCATCCTATCTTTTTAGTGGAGTTCCTTTCAGACACTGAGTACAGTTGTTGGGGGATCACCGTGGTGATCGGGTAGTGTCCCTGGTTCCTAAGATATCATGCTCGCGGGTGCGTGCGCATGCACGAGGGTTCACTCTGAACGAACACTGGCGGTGGGTGCACAACACCTTTGGTGAGATTCTATGATTATTAATGTATGTATATATTACGCTTATGTGTGTGTGTGTATTGTTGACCCTGAGGAAAATCCCAAATGGGGACTGAAACATTGGTAATTTTTTTATTGATTTAAATAATGTATTGGAGTTTTAAGACCGGAGAGCAGCCTCTACTTGATTTTTTGTGTGACTGGAGCAGAGGCTATGTTTGCCCCCGGCATTGAAGGAAATAAAGCGTGAGTGCAGGTGATTTTTTTTTTGTGTGTGTGTGTTACTCTGTACCATAACCTTTGTAGTGATGTCAAATTGTTATGGTTCTTTGTGGCACTTTAATAGTAGTGCAATTCAGTGTTGCCTGATTGTCTGCATATGTACTGCTCCCTTAGGCTTACATACTCCAACTCAAGGCTTTTGTGAACTCTAATTATTTGGCCCCAAGTTTAATCATACACAGACCAGGAACCTTGTGTTCACTGCTGGCAATGTGTGAGCTATGAAAGACTTGGATGATGAAGATTTTCTGCCACCAGTTAAAGCCTGGTTATGGTATGACATAATTCTGCAAACAGGGGGCTAAGATAAATTCTAATAGCTTCCTCACCTCACTTTGTGAATCCTTGAACTGTCTCACTGTTTTGATTTTTGGTTGTTACATTGTAAGTTTAAACATTTTGTATATGAAAGTTTCTGCATTTAAAAAAACAAAAATTAACTTTGCCAGATCAGTTATACTGTTCTAACAGTATGTTCTAGTTGTTGCTTTCTGTGTTTTTGTATTTCTATATAAAACCATTTTGTGTGCGTGATTTGTTAATGTACCCAATTGTTTTGAGGGTTATTAAAACAAACCTAGCTGCATCTTCTGACTTAGTCTCATATTTTTGAAACTTGGCTTATCCTGGATCATTTAACCTCTGTCAAAAACACTTGTTAAAGACTTGCACACAGGATGCATCTGCGATTAGAACGCCGTAACGGCTTGCAACCACAAGAGGTAATATTTACGTGCCGCCGCCGCAATCCTCTTCGGGAGGACTGCCTAACAGCCCAGGCAGCCCTCCCACGGCAAATATAGCCCCCTATAGCTTGCTGTGGATCTGCCAGCAAGGGGACTGTCTGAAATGTTGGTCCCCAAGCTGGTGGGAAATGTAAAAAAAAAATTATAGAAACCAGTTTAAAATAAATTAAGTGTGTGTGTGTATGTATATATGTATGTAACGTCATACATAGTGTATTTTAATGTTAATATATGTATATATAAGTATTAAAATACACTTAGAATGATGTTACATATATATGATATATAGATGTATTATATATATATATATAATATATTTTATATAAATGTATAATTACAATTATAAATAAAATAATATAAAAAAAATTTAAAATTTATATATACATATGTAATTTCATTCTAACTGTATTTTGTTAATATATGTAACAAAATACACTTAGAATGACATTCTATATCTATATATAAAATACAAATAACTGCAAATATATATACACATAAATATATATAATTACATAAGTGTACACGTAGACTTTAAATACATATATATATTAAAATTCTAAGTGTAGGTTTAAGTAATATTTTAACATAATTATGTGATTTAATTAATAAAAATTTGATTGACATGCCTGACAACCCAGGCAGAAAGTGCAGAGAATTTGAATTGCAAGCATTCTATTTAACCCTGTAACTTTCCAAGACACCATAAAACTTGTATATGGGGGGGTACTGTTCTACTCGGGAGACTAAGCTGAGCACAAACATTAGTGTTTCAAATGGTAACTTGTATTACAACAATTATATTTTTAGTAAAAGTGACGTGTTATGCATTTTTCTCACACGAACGACACTTTTACTGACAATATTATTGTAATATGTTTTACTGTTTTAAAACACCTTTTTTTTTGTGCTCAGTGAAGTCTCCCAAGTATATAACAGTACCCCCATTTACAGTTTTTTTGGTGTTTTGGAAAGTTTGAGAGTCAAATATAAGGCTTGCATTTCAATTTTTTTTCACATTGTAATTTGCCAGATTGGTTAAGTTGCCATCTGAGACCGTATGATAGCCCAAGAATAAGAATTACCCCCATGATGGCATACCATTTACAAAAGTAGACAACCCAAGGTATTGCAAATGAGGTATGTCCAGTCATTTTTAGTAGCCAGAGTCACATACATCCAGTTATCCTAATGTTGAGAAAAGCTTGGGATCGGTGGGATCACAGGTCCCCTTGGGCTCTGAGTTCCGGGTGAGTGAATGGACGTTGGGTTAGAGGCTCCTCTGAACTGGCACAGAGGGACGGGTAGTCACAGCATCAGTGTGGGTCTGCTCTGCATCAGGAGAGATAAGGGCAGGAGGTCTGAGGTCAATTTGGTTCCAGAAAGCTTAGCAGATCTTGTTAAAGGGGCACTATATAGTCATCAGAACAACTACAGCTTACTGTATTTGTTCTGGTGAGCAGAATCATTCTCTTTAGGCTTTTTGCAGTAAACACTGTCTTTTCAGAGAAAATTACATTACAGCCTAGGGATAATTCCACTGGCCACTCCTCATATGGCTGCTAGAGGTACTTCCTGGGGCAGTGTTGCAGACACTTAACTTTCCTCAGAGATGCATTCATTGAATTAATCTATGAGGGGATGCTGATTGGCTAGGGCTGTGTTTGACTTTTGTTGGCTCTGCCCCTGATCTGCCTCCATGATAGTCTCAGACCACCACTTCTGCTGATGTCAGCAGACAGGGGAAAGTCAGCAGCTGCAGACTTGTAGATGGTGGTTTTAACACAATAGGGTCAGGAATAAATGTTTGTGTTCCTGACCCTAAAGTATATCTTTATATTTTTGCTCAAATGCAAACTTCCAATTCCGGTATACTAGGTCTGTCTGAGCTTGCTGGAGCAGACCTTTTAGGTGCACTACACCAGTGCTCCTCAACCCTCTCCTCAAGGCACACCTAACAGTCCAGAAATGGGGATTACATTGGTGTGTATAAGATTATTTTTTTTTGTCTAAACACGTCTAGTGTAATCCCTAAATCCTGGACTGTTGGAGGTGTGCCTTGAGGAGCACTGCACTACTCGTCTACCAATTCAGCAGGATTAGAGTTCTCTGTGGAGAAGGCAAACATTTTGGGACAGGATAACCTACACTGGGGGAGGATGGGTAACAGGGTTGCAAAAAGTGTGCTTCATGATGCACATCCAAAGCTTGGGAGGTTGGCCACCCCTCCCAAGCACTGGGCAACATTCCTGTTGCCTCTCAGTGTCTGACTGGATGGAACCAGGTGAGTTACCGAAGTGGCAAGTAGCTTAGTGGTCTGTGAGCTGAACCGAACTCTAGTTATTTTGCTTAATAAACTCAGGCCAGCTGGAACTGTAGATTGCGTCCGGCCATCTAGGCGCCATGCCCAGTCCCCATTATCCACCCTTTTAGGATCCTGCTGTATCTCAAGTGTACTGCCACTATATGTTGGGAAAACTGAGCTTTTTACTCACTGTAAATTCATTCGTATTGGTGGCAAAACAAAGCTCTCTCCTTATATAATACATTTGTGATTTTGAATGAGATCTGTATGGCTTGTTATTCTTGCTATTAATGAGGATTAAAAGCGCAGTAAAGGTATTTAAGGGTAACTTTTTATTTAACATAAGATATCTGCCCAGCACAAAATAGAATATCCCTAGTCTGCTGCTAATGCCAAGTAAAAATGTTTCCATTGATTAAAAATGTTCTGTTTTCTATACTGAACAAAAGCTCTTTTTGAGGCTTTTTTTCTCTCTCTTCGTTTAGGAATCCAGCAGTTCAGCCCAATTTTAAGGAATTACCATCTTCTTAAGCCACACCAATTCAACACAACAAAGGATAGCTGTGATAGGCTAAATAGGAGTCTCCATTAATGCTCCGACCAGAGCTGAGCCCTGCTGTACATGGCTATGGAGCTCATTGGCTTACAGTGTCAATTGGTCAGTCTCTGCTATTGAGCTAAGGCCTTCAGTGTAGGACTTGGCTCAGAAAAAGAGCTTCTGGCTTCCTGTCATGTATGGAGCAACACCCAGAGGATCCAAGGTGCAAAGTCAAACCATTCTAAAACAGTTTGACTTGGGGGCGCCGTAGTGGTTATATTACTTGGTGTGTTTGTGTAATTGAAAATCCTAGACATAGGATGCATTTTAACAATCGGGAATAAAAGTGACTTTGTATTGAGTTTTTTTCTTTAGTTCCAATTATAAGCAAAACTGAATTTTCAGTTAAAAACAAAAATACACTTAAGCTATGGAGGGAGGCGGGAGGATGAGAAAAGTAATCTGTAGCTGATTAGATATTGTTGCAGGAGGAATAACAGGAACAAACCGCAAAAGACACTCAGAGAGAGATGGACAAGTAATAGGTCTTTTATTTACACACTGATTGGGTCTCAGCTGAACTAGCAGTCTAAAAATGTCTGAGAGCCAGAGCACAGATTGCAGAAGCTTTTTGTTAACAGCATATCCCCTCCCATACAGTATAACCCCTCCTATATTCCTCAGACCAATCAGCAAACAGGATAATCACCTTATATGGGCAGACCACATGGTTCATCTGAGACAAAGGAATGTACTCTCCACTTCCGTACATGCTCAGTACACTGATGACTCATCCAACTGTTTGTAATCAGATACTAATTAGCATATGCCATGTGGAAATTTCCACTAAATTTTCCTACTAAATTTTGACCACTCTGGAATCCCATCACATTCCCCCCCTTTGATGCTTCTGATACAAAGTTATTCCAGATGCATCACTAATCATAATTTGCCAACACCACTCTTGCAACCACGAACCAGGACAGAACACGTGAGCATTCTAACTTAACTCTGCTACCTCTCAGCACTCATCATCCTAATTATCAATAATGTCTCCCTGGGCTAGAGGTTCATATTTCCAGATGGCCATTACATGAGCTGCTGTGCTCTCAATAATGCTACGTATAGACCGAATTACTAATGGAATCAGACAGGGCAGGAAGAGGCATAAGAAAATAATAAATACTACTCCTCCTACCAGTGATTTAATCCCACCAAGCTGCTAATACCAACTCCCAAACCAACTATTTGGATTATACCCGTTCCAAATCTGAGTAGGTACATGTGTCAGTTTAACCATGTGGCTGGTAAGGTCAACCACTGCCTGCCCATCATTTATATGCAGACAACAATGACTGAGGTTAAACTTTCCACACACACCTCCTTCAACTGCTAGCAAATAATCAAGAGCCAGTCTATTTTGGTAAATGGTTGATCTCATACGGGTATTTTGTTTAGCCAAAAGGTTAAGAGCCTTAGCTGTCTCATTGGTTATGATCTCAACCACCGCCTGTAATCTTATAATGCAGTTGAGCATATATATGGGGGTACGGTAACCAGGTCCATAATAATTAATAATGTGCTGAGGGGGTTACTCATCATCTTCCCAACTACCTATGTTCAATGATGCTCGCTTCTTTCTATGATTTACATCATAAACCTTAACTCCCAAGGTCTCTCCTGTTTCAATTGGCAACAAGAAGGATGGTTTGAGCATACCTAGCACACATGCCTCTTCCCAATCTTGTGGTAACTCCGAGTATGCTTTCTTACCACAGATCCAGTATAAATTCGCTGGGGCCCTCCAATTAGATGTGGCAGATAGCTCAAACCATATCTCTCTCAAATTGATGTAATTGGCAAATGGATTAGTAGGTTCTGAGACATTTGAAGCTGACCACCAATTAATGGTTTGAGTACTAGCATTATAGGCCTTCTGTCCTAAACAAGTTATTTCGCCAACAGGTGTATTATACATTGGGCCTCCTCTAGCTAAACACACATGACCTATTATAGATGTCTTTAAACACCATTCCGATTTTTCTCTTACATTTACCTGATGATCAGATTGGGAAAGCATCTGTTGTTCATTTGTCTCAGAACCAGGGTACCATACTTCTCTTGCCTCCCATGGCCGTTCGTTTCCCATATTTGTGCCTCCACATACAAAGCAGTTAGTTATATTAAGACTACCTGCTTTACTCTCAGCCAAATCAATAAACAGGTTCTTAACATTATGGGGAACTTTATCTTCAACACTCATCTCCCCATAAAAGGAATGGAATACCTGATGAGTCTGAGTATTCATAGTCTCGGTTTCAAGGCCTACATACAATATGGCTCCTGGATCTGCTCCTGTACCATGTATCTGAAACCCCAAAAGATTCCAAAACTTGTCAATGAATTGCTGCGGGTTGGAAATGGTCATATGTACAGGGTTACACTCCATAGTTTTACAATACGATGTAGTGGGCAACCTTTGAATTACCATGTCTTGGTCTACTGTCTTTCCCCAGGTTGCCCAACCTACACATGACCAATAGGAGCAAAAGTTAAAATCTCCATTTGGGCAATAAGGATCAGTAGATCTTTTACTAGGGCATAAATACTTATCATTGAACCCGTAAGTTCTCTCCCATTTAAGATTACCACATACATTCCAAGGTTTTATACTACCTGAAATCGCCTTACATGCATCAAATAATAGAATACCCGTGGAATGTATGGTACTAAGTAAAGTCCTATTTATCTAAAGTCCCTTGAGAATTTCGAATTACTAACCAAATTGTATGGGGTTGGAATGAGGGTGGGGGCACCCTCAGGGCACTCTAGTGCCAGGAAAACGAGTATGTTTTCCTGGCACTATAGTGTTCCTTTAAGTTTCTGCAAATCCTTCAAAAACCCACATCAGCAAGTATCAACCAAAGTGAACCAGAAGGCCCTCCTGATTATCAACTTGACTGCCAGTGGTGTGTTCCCTAATTTTTGCTAAAGTTCTGATTTCCCTGGAAGCTGACACTGTTATGACTTGGGACAAGGGGGTGCTCCTGTTAACCTCTAAGTACAAGCTGAAGAGCTTTAGGATTCTGCAGCGTCCCTTGTAGCAAGCTCTTACTACAGGTAGCCCGGGGATGAGATAGTTGCACACTAAATACATGCCTCATATCCGTAACCAAATGTCTACGCATAAATACAAATGAAACAAATGCACATTTACTTTGTATCTTGTGAAAGTTACCAATTATATGAAGCCTGGCAAAATTCTGTCAGATATAGATAACTGAAATTCCTTAACATATTTGTCAGGTTCCAACTGACTTCTGATTCAAGGTTATCTGTCCTCCTACAATTAGTCTTGTAGGAACAAGCAGTTTCTTGTCACAAGGTGGCACTAGTTCAACATGTTTCGTTTCCTGTTCAGTGCACCCTGCAGGTTTATTATCCTGATAAACCAACACAAGATCCAGTGATTCTGTCCTCTGATTTGGAAACAAGGCCAGCAGTTGTGTTCTGAGAGAATGCAGAGAGGCTCTGCGGCAGCCAAGGTTGTAGCCTGAAAAGACCTAGAAGCAAAATAATGTCATGAAGACAACTGACAAAGACCAGATATGGTGCTTTTCTTTTGCAGCAGCATCTCCATCTGAATTGTCAAGACAATAGAAATACTGAAATTAAAGGAACAGTCCATATTGGAATAAACCCACCTTTCACTGTATTAAATAGAAAGGGCACAGAAAATGTAAGAAGAAACAAGGTTCCATATTTATTTATTTTGTTAAATATTACTGTAAATCCAGATTTTTGCAGCGTCTGCAGTGAGCTTGCATCATTGTATTGCGCTTCTAAGGGTTGAAAGGCTGTAAGGCTGAGAGGATTTGGACTAAGAGTGCCAAACTGACATCTCAAAATCAGAGGCTTCTCAATGAAAGAGAGGGCTTAATAAGGTTGCATATATAGCCCGAATGAAAAACAATTAGAAATAAATGCATGCATGTTTTATTAGGGGAATATCTACTAAATAGAGATTTTTAATTTTATATATTTAATTTTGGCAATTGAGTGTTCTTTTAATTGTCAGTTTTCTGCTCTAAAAAGCTTACAAGCCACCAAAACCTAATTCACAATATCATGTACAGCAGTATTTTTGAAGGAAATGTACATATTTTGTGGGAGAGTGTCCATAATAGAGGATAACTAGTGGACATATGGATGCAAACAGACATGTCTGTCATATTCTGTCTACATTGAGGGATAAAAGGATGGAGTATGACAAAAATGTCCCTCCTATTATCATTAAATCACCACGTCAGCTATGCTTCCAGTTTGGCTATTTTGAAATCATTAAAGGATCACTATCGTGTCAGGAAAACAAACTAGTTTTCCTGACACTATAGCATCCTTAGGACCCCCCTCCCCTCCCTTGACGCTGAAGGGGTTAAAGCCCCTTCAGTCACTTACATTTATCCAGCGCCGGGCTCCCTCAACTGCTATGTTTACATCTGAAGGGTCAAAACCTGGGGGACCTTGCACCCAGACCACTTCATTGAGCTGAAGTGTCTGGGTGACTATAGTGTCCCTTTAATTCACACATTCCACAGCAGTATATATTTTACACATATAGAGAAGGAGTATAGTTTGTTGTATAAAGGTGTTAAACATACAGATGGGCAAATCACTCCATTCAGATGAATGGACAAAATGGCAAAATTCGGACAAAAGCGAATGCCCAAGTCTACAGTGGTTATGCGCGGGAATTTCACAGAGAAAGCTAGTGTGGGCAGATGAAGGCCCTGTGGTACACGTCATCCGGGAACACAAAGATGGCAGCGCGTAGAACATAGGTCCGGACAAAAAATGTAGCAGTAAAAAAAAAGGTAAAATGGGGGACATGTAGAGAAGTTGGGAAAGGGGTTAAAAAATTAGATGTGGCCATGACAGAGCCGCTTTAAACATTGGGACCTGCACAGGACCTTATAATGCTAAATTGTCCATTTCAGGAGATATAAATGTC